GAACACATTTCCAAGTGATCTTCCCCCATTTCTGTGCTCCTGACAGAGGGGAGAACCTTTCTGTGTTCTTTATGCAAACTGTGTGAGATGTCAGCCTTTTGTTGGACCCAACCAGAACAGAGGAGAGAAGAGAACAGAAGAAAGGAAACACTGTTCTCTGTGTGGGAAATCAGTCCTTTCATTTGGGAAGTGATATGGCTGGAACATCTCCAAAAACACGGAGCAAAAGAAATCCCTACTCTCATTTCTGCAGCAAACCTGCACACCTTCAAAGCCACACACGCCTTCAAAGGCTTCTCCTTTGCTTTCCTCCTCATTCACGTGCCTCTCCTCTCTCCAGCCCAGGTGTACAATGACATCAGCATAGGTGGAGTCTTTGAGGAAGGAGGCCTGGACCGAAGTCACATCTTCCTGACCATCCACGATGCTGTTTTGTTTGCACTGGCCAATATCAAAGAAGTTGTCCACCCCCCCATCTTGGAAGAGGTAAATTCGCTCCACAGACTCTCCCAGCTCACAGGACTGTACTTATCAGGTTCACTGGCTGCATCAGCACCAAGGAAGAATAACAAATTGCTACTGCAGCTGATAAAGCTTCCTGTTTATCTCAGTAGTGGCAAATGTCTAAATCCAACAAAATATTTCTGCTAGTTACCATGTACAGGCCAAGCACCTACTGATTGAATGGATTTCCATGGGAATTCAGAAGTGTAAATGTCTTGGCTGAGAGAATAATGTTGTCCCACCCTGGAGCAGCCAAAAGGGCAGTTCCAGCACCGTGGCCTCAGTCTGGTGCTGGGTGGAACAGGCAGCTGCACACAGAGGCAGAATTTGGCCCTCAGAAATGAAGGCAAAGCAGATTCACCTGTCCAGGAGTGATCTCAGCATCTGTGAACTCTCCCTGGGTTGGGAGGAGAAAAGGCCAAGGCAGGAAGGCGGCACATTCTGAGGGCACAGTGTCAGGCAGGCTCTTTTCCCAAACTGGGGTTGGTTTATTGTGTGGTAATTTACCTGGAATCAGGGCAGTGGGAGCCAGTTATCTCACAAGAACAAGTTAAGGTATCTCATATCTGGGCAGAGTGATATGTAAATGCCAACTTAGTCACAGGAGATAAACAAATGGAGCAGGATTGCTTCTGTGCCCCTTCCCCCGGGCATTTCTGTCGGAGCACCTGTGATGTTTGAAGCCTGGGTTAGTCATTATTTTTGTTCCTTTTGACCCTGACAATTTGTGGATTCGATTTTTTTCTGCACAGAGGCCAAACCAGACAGAGCTCTCCATCTCTGATGAGTCTGTGGATGAAAGCAGTGCAGAGTTCAAGAACCTGGAGGAGGTGAGTTCTAGTGCCAGGGGTCACTGCAGCCATGGGTGTAAGGTGGAAATCAGAAGTCATGTTTGGGGTTGATTAGACAGGAACTCCCCTGTGCCACTGCTGGGCAAACTGCAAGTAACTGCAATGCTTTGAAAAGTTAATTGCAACCTCCCACCACCAGCTTTCCCTCGTGGAGAAGGGCTGGGAAGGGCTGGGGTTTCTGGTGGTGTTTCCCTGCGGGACTGAACGATGCTGAGCTGTGCTGGTGGGTCTGTGCCACGGCACCAGCCCTAACCCTGCGTGTCTTCTGTGCCCTTTAGGAGATGTTTGGAAGCATGTTCCACTCAGAAAACCAGACAGCTCTGTGAGCACCAAAGTGTGGGCAAACCCTCCAGAACGGACTCCTCTCTCCAATCCTTTTGTGAAGACCTGGGGATGCAACAGGTTTGCAAAGCAAGAGGCCATCCCACCTCTGGGACTGACACATCCCTCCTTCCTGCTCTATTTGTGGTGTTCAGAGCAGTGGACTCTGCAGCAGGCAACAGCACCCTAGGGAAGCAGGAACTCAGGAAATGCCATCCCATGGATTAGAGGAGAAGGGAGCTCATTTGAAGGCAGGTGCCTTAACCCAGGGGAGGATGAGTCACCGGTGCCAAGCGCTCCCCTTTGTCTCACACAATCAACCCTTCTGCCCACATCGGATTATGTAACTTGGGCATCCTGCTCCTTCCTTTTCCCCTCCTCCCTCTCTTCCTGATGAAGTGAAATACAGGCAAATATTAAAAGCCTGTCAGGGCTTTTGATTCTCGAGCGAAGGCGGCTCTTGCAAAGCCGTTCTGTGAAGTGCACTGACCTGGGGGGGGGGCCTGGAAGTGCAGCCCCCCCAATTTCCCCTCCTGTTTGTGCAGCACCACCTCTGCCTCTCCTGTGGCCCCTCTGCCAGTGACCCCCCTGCTCCCTTTTCTCTGTGACCCTGAGTCCCACAAACCACTGCCTCAAACCCCAGTGCCTCAAACCAGTGCTGTCATTTCTGACACTCCCAAGACCTTGGTACTCCCTCTCAGAAGGGCTAATTTCTGAATTATGTGGGGTGTTTTTATTTACTAATAGGATGTGCTTGTAATCAGACATCAGAATTCCTTGTTACATGCATATTGCCCTGCCTGCCCGCTGGGTTGAGAAGAGAAACCTCTTGTTCAGTATGTGATATTTCCATTCCAGTTCTCTACTATATTTGATAATTTTCACTAAAATTCACCACAGACTGATGCTGCCAGGACTATCTACCTCGGGCAAACTCGCCTGCCTCGCTGACCCAGAGACAGACCCTGGAGATCTTCATCATTTCTGAAAACCTGACAGACATTCTTTTATATTTGAGTGATGCTCACAACAACTGCTCTTTTAGTTTCCTTGTCTGATGCCTTCTCTTCTTACCCAGTGCTGATGATGTGACAGTAATGACAAGGTGTCAATAGAAAACCTGAAAATTCTAAGTGCAAGCCAAGGGTTAAAGGAACCCTTCTTTCTTCAGTGCATTTCAACCCCAAGTATGGCTTTTATGAAAATAAGGTTATACAAAAATTAAGGTAAAGACACATATTTGTACCTCTTAAATTGTGACAAACCCAATTTTTTTGTCTGAATTTCAAATCTTCCTACAAAATATTTCCAGCTCTGGGATAAAATGCAGCAGTTGCCAAGAAAAAAAAAAACAACTGGACAGTAATGGAAGCAAATCTGGGCAGTCTGTTTTCTTCCCATGAATGCAAAAACAAAAGAGGGGCCTTAATAATGAAAGTAAATTATATTTTAAACTGTTATTTCTATTTTATTGCTCTAAGATATTACGAATATGAGCAAGCTTTAATGTAAAGTTTTGAAGTACATAGACATTATTAAGCTGATTCACCAGCAGATTGCTGAAGGCTTTCTGGGAAGAGAGTGTGGGGTTTTCCTACAGCTCCCAGATACCTCATTTTTAAGGAAAACAGAGCTTCATGAACCACCTTAGCTAGACAGCCAGTAAAGGAAACAACATCAGGACCCTGCCAGCTTGGTTTTATGAAACATCTCATCAACTAAGTCACCATTTCTCTACCTCAGTTCCTGAGAATAATAAAACCAAAGGAGGGTAGTTTCCAAGAGGAAAAACCCACTAGCTAATGGTTGGTTATTCCTTATTTTAATGTCAGCCAGCAGTGATTTCTCCAGAACCACGTCTAGCTTGTTCTACGAGGTAAAACCAAGAGCTTAAGTCTCTTAAATTATTTTTGAGGGTGATTACTCATGGCCTCTTGTTACTGCCTGAGAGCTCCTTTGACAAAGAGCAACAGGGAGGTTGGTGCAGTGGGACAAGAAGCTGTCCTAGTCAATATTTCTGTAGCTCTGAGGTGGCATCGCATTAAAAAGAGGAAAATTCCCATTTCCAGCTCCTCATTGGGGATTCCTTGCAGGAGGCTGATTTCAGGTCCAAAATCAGGGCAGGAAGCCTCAGAGCAACAGAGCGTGCAGAAAACAGGGATTGTGGTTTGGGCAGTTCCTGCAAGTGTGAAGGATGGGGTGTCAGGAGGGACAGACAGAAAGCAGCAGTGACTGCTCTGAAATCTGATGAGCCAGGCAGAAGGAAACCTCATTTCTGTAGCCAATAAATGTAATATCAGCACTGCTGGAGGCACAGTGTGGCCAAAGGCTTAACTTCCAAGTGCCTGGGCAGAGAATTGGGGAAGCTCAGATTCACACTGGTGAAATTTTTACCTTCCAGTGTCCCTTTATCTCTCTTAAATAACAGTGATGTTGATGTGTGACGGCTCTGAAGCCTTCCTTGGTAAATGCATGATGTATAACCAGCTCAGAAATGTTTGTAATTTATTTAATTTAATATTGGTTTCGTTCTCTTTTTTTGATAATAAAGAATATGTGAACAATCATCCCCTTCTGCTGATCTGAGAGAAGGATTTCCGTGGGGGTTCCCATCTGGTATTTGGCATCCTGGGATAGTTCATGCCATGGGAAGGTGGGGTAAATCTTTACATTCAAAAGAAGTAAAGAAGGGAAGAACAACTGTTCCATCATGCTGGTTGGTGGAATCATGGAAAGAAGTGGATTTTTGGATTTAAAGCCTGTCAGGAGTGGGGTTGGCACACCGAGGGCATGACTCTGGGGCTGCCCTGGGATCTTCTTCAGGCTGCTCCTGGCTGACCCTCCCAAGGAAGCCAGGGAGGGACTGTTCATCAGGAACTGGAGCGACAGAACAGGAGGGAACGGCTGCAAACTGACAGAGAGAAGGTTTAGACTGGATATTGGGAAGGAATTCTTCCCTGTGAGGGTGGGGAGGCCCTGGCACAGGTTGCCCAGAGAAGCTGTGGCTGCCCCATCCCTGGAAGTGTCCAAGGCCAGGTTGGAGCAACCTGGGCTCGTGGAAAGTGTCCCTGCCCGCGGCAGGGGGTGGAATGAGATGACTTTTAAGGTCCCTTCCACCCCAAACCATCCCGCGACTCTGCGATTCCAGGGTGGCCTGAGGGAACCAGCCCCTCCCGCCGCCATGGCCGCTCCAAACTACAACTCCCAGCAGTCCCCGCGGAGGGGGCGGCCACAACCAGCACGACCACTCAACCCCATTGGTCGACTCTCCGGCGGGGCGGGTGGTGATTGGCTGAGGGCCACGCCCATCGTGCCCGTGCAGGGATGGCGGGCGGGCGGCGGGCGGTGATGGCAGCCGGGCTGGCGCTGGGCGCGGCGGTGCTGGCGGTGGCCGCGGCCGTTCTGCTCCGCGCCTTCGTCCTGCGGCCCCCGGCCGGGCTCCCGCGGCTGTGGGCGCGGAGCGCCGGCACCGCCGCCCTCAGCGCCGACGAGCGGCGGGAGCTGAAGGAGGCGCTGCGAGGTGAAGGGGCCCGCGCACGGCGTGTGCCCCCCTCGCCCCCCGGACGCGGCTGAGGGCGGGACACAGGGCGAGGGTGGGACCCGAGGGGAGGCGGCCGCTCCTCGGGTGCTTTGCCGGGGAAGGAGCGGGTGTTGGCCAGGGCAGGGGTTGTCACCTGTGCTGGGTACCCGTGAGGCCACACCTGGAGCGCTGCGTCCAGTTCTGGTCACTCGGTTCAGGAGGGACATTGAGGGGCTGGAGTGTGTGGAGGGAAGGGTCTGGAGGACCAGGAGAGCTGAGGGAGCTGGGGGGGCTCATCCTGGAGAAAAGGAGGCTCAAGGGGGACCTTCTGGCTCTGCAATCCCTGACAGGAGGGGGGAGCCGGGGGGGATCAGGCTCTGCTCCCAGGGAACAGGGACAGGAGGAGAGGGAACGGCCTCAGGCTGTGCCAGGGGAGGCTCAGGCTGGACATCAGGAGGAATTTCCTCATGGAAAGGGTGGTCAGGCCTTGGAAGGGGCTGCCCAGGGAGGTGGTGGAGTCCCCACCCCTGGAGGTGTCCAGTCCCACGTGGCACTCAGTGCTCTGGTGGGGTTTGGTCACAGGTTGGACTCGATGGTCTCGGAGGTTTTTTCCAACCTCAGTGATTCTGTGAATCTCCTGAACCAGCTCTGGCCCAGTGTTGATTCTCTCTGCCATTCCCTGCTCGTACACACAGAAAGCACCAGGCACCTGTGACGGTGTTTTCCAGACATCCCTCTGGCCACTGGATAAGTCACTGTGGGGATTTTTTCCCTCTCTTGCTCACCACTGGCAGCCTGGCTGTGACCCCTGCTGCTGTGTTTGTGCTGTGTGACGTGGGAGATTGGAGGGTTTCAGATCTCAGGAGGGCTGGCAGTGTGCAGGAAACCACAGTCTGGCATAAAATGATAGCCCTGCGCTGTTCAAGTAGGGCTTGGGTGTGTAAATCTCATACCTTGCTGGTTTGTAGGATTTATTGCCTAGCAAATCATGTTTGCATACCTTTTTAATGGGAAAATGAAGGGTCACAATAGATTTTTGTGTTAATTGTCGAGTCACACGACCTCAAAAGAATCTGTAACCTCACTTGACAGATGCTCTTGGGAAAGGCAGCTGGGACTGGGACTAAGTTAAACCCATGTTCTGCAGCACAGTGGCTGGATGTTGGAGAGCAGCTGTGTCTGAGCTTGTTTAAATGACAGAGCAGACTAAAAGAACCAACAAAAGACCTGTCTGTTTATATATTTTAATAGTTAGAGCAGTCTGTGTAATAACTCTCTTGCCATCACAACACAAGTCACTGTTGAGAATCTTGAACTGCCAACTAAGCTGCTTGTTCAGCTGCCAGAGTAGTTTATGCCTCTGAGGAATCAGATCACCCAAGCAAATTGCAGCTGCTCCTGGACAGTAGCATTTTTAATGATATCATTCAACACTTCAGGATGAAAAGTGGAGTCAGATTATCTACAGAAATGCCTTGGCTGAGCTGTTGGGAAATGCTGGTGGCTGCCTGTGCACAGCTCAGCTGAAGCACATCAGCCCTTTGTGATAGTGGCAGCTCGTGCTGCGCTGTGAAATAATGTTTAAATCTCCTGGAAAATATTCAGGCACATAAAATATCCTTCCCCTCTTCAGATGGCAGTGCAAGTATTGTTTGATTTGAGTGCTGAGTGATTTCTGGTCTGTGTTTCATTGAAGGTGCCATTAAAATCCCAACTGTGTCCACGTCTCCAGATGACTTGAATACAACAGCCATGGCAGAATTTGGGAGTTACATTCAGAAAGGTACTAAACTTTCATTCTCAGCAATCTCTGCTGCTTGATTTCATTTTGATAAACAAACTGGAGAGTGTATATATGGTTCCTGAATATAATGGAACAGATTTTTAGTTTGTTTTTCCTGAAGAAAGACCTGTCAGAAACTGGCACATGTGTATTTTTGGGGTATCCATGGCCAAAGCTTGAACAGAGAAGGTTTAAACAACTTCTTGCAGCAGTGGTTTTTGGTCCTTGAGTTGGTTAAATGCTATTAAAACAAATAATAATAAAAAGAGGATAATTACTGCTGCTTCAGCCTTTTTTTTGGCAGTTCCAGTACTGGTGAACGAGAATTCCTGGTTTGTTTAGGAAAGTTTTAAATACAAAGTGAGATGGATTGGTGCAAGTGTGAGAACTTCTGTTCTCTCTTGTGATCAGTCACATTTGCAGTGCTCCCCTGAGGCTAAATAGGTGACAGCTCTTTGGGATGCACAATCATAGCATGGGACATTATTGTTACTTTTTCTTTTACATGTGTTTTTAATTTTTTTTTTTTCCCCTAACAGTCTTCCCGGCTGTATTCTCTTCAAAGTTCATCCAGCATGAAATTGTAGGGAAATACAGCCACCTCTTTACTGTTCAGGGCTCTGCCCCTGACCTGCTGCCCTATATGCTGCTGGCACACATGGATGTTGTGCCTGCTCCCCCCGAGGGCTGGGATTTCCCTCCCTTCTCAGCTGCAGAGCACGAAGGTTTCATCTACGGACGAGGAACGCTGGATAACAAAAACTCTGCCATAGTACGTCCTCTTGGTAACGTCATTGCAGCAAGATAAAAGCCTGGCAAGGGTAAATTGGAGGAGTCTGTTCTCTTGGAATCCACTACATTGTCTCTCTTGCCCCCCTTTTGAATTAATTAGTGATGAATTCCCGAGCCCTGCAGTGTTATCCCAGCTCTTCCTAGAGATGGAGTGACCACGATTACTGAAGAAAGCAGAGTTAAAGCTCTTAGAAGAATCAGAAGAACATGTTCACAGATGCAGATGTATTTGATTAAGTGCCATATTTAAAATTTTATGGCCCAGGTTGCCCAGAGAAGCTGTGGCTGCCCCATCCCTGGGAGTGTCCAAGGCCAGGTTGGACAGGGCCTGGAGCAACCTGGGCTAGTGGAAGGTGCCCCTGCCCATGGCAGGAGGGGGGACTGAAATGATCTTTAATCCCCCTTCCAACCCAAACCATTCCATGATTGTGTGTCAAATGCTGTGTTTGAAATCAGGGATAGACCTTTTCCTTTTTCCCAGGTGTCACACGGGCATTCAAAGCCAAAGTTGGCCCTTTGAAAAGGCTTGGGTTTCAAAATAAATAGTGTTTATTTAATAGGATAGACAAATAACCCTGTATCTTTTATGCAGTCTGTGGCAGAACAAAGAGCTGTTGTACTAAATACATTCAGGAGGAATAAAATACAGAAAAGATTGATCTGGGCAAGATTTCTCATTGGGGAAAGGTTGGTGGAAAAATTAGTAAGGAAAATGGCCCTTTGTGCCTTGTGGTGATTAAATATTTAAACAAATATTTAGCAAACCAATGTCAGGGATGCTGTGACTGCTTATTGTGACATAGGCCACGCTCCTAGAAAGTTTCAGGTTATTTAGTCATCGATTTCAAACCCTTGAAACTTGAAAGTTTGGTTTGGTGCTTCCTTCTACTGGGAACTGCAGAAGTAACTCCACAAAGGGGCCAAAAAAATGAGCAATTTCAGTGAGCGTGGCAAAACAAGATGTGAAAAATTAAGGAGTTTAAATTGAAAAAAACAGGTGAGATGGGATAATATGGCAAATATATTGTTATAAATATATATCTCTGCCACAGCAAATGGTAGATTTGATTTCTCATTCTTCAAATTAAGTTTCTGGGTTGTTTTTTTTTGTCATCTTGGCACTTCCTGTACAAAATATACTGCTGATTAAAATCACTGGATTTGGTGGCTCAGGTCAGAGCCAATCTGTGTGTGGGACAGGCAGTTTCAGGGACCAGTGAATTCCTTGAATAATTACAACTTTGTCCTGCTTATCAACACAAATATTGCAGTGTTTTTTCCAGGGAATGGGAATATCCTCAGTGGGAGCCGTAGAACTCAAAGCTCAGCTGTGAGCTTAAGTCTCCTCAAGGGCTGTGAAAGCATCACACTTCTCTTCCATCACCCTGCACTCTTTTACATTTATTCTCCTCATTAACACCCAGGGATGGGGTACAACACGTTCTGCTTTTCCTGCAGGGAATTCTGCAAGCTCTGGAATTTCTGCTGAGGAGGAATTACAGACCCCGCCGATCTTTCTATGTTGGCATTGGACACGACGAAGAGGTATTTCATTTCCCTGCAATAACGAGTTGTTTGCACCTTTCATGGAGGTAACGAGGCTTTAATCTCTTCAACCTTGTTTAGCTGGAATGTCTTCCCTGTTTCTCTTGGTTCTGTGGGGAGATACTGTGTCAGGCACGAGGGCAGTTATATGTTGATTGTTTGGCTTTGAGTGACGTTGACAAAGGGTTTGGTGTGATGAGGAAAGAGAAGAGAACACAGGAGGGTGGTAGTTCAGATTCTTTCCTGCAAGGAAGGTGCAGCAGGAGTCACATTTTGGAGTACACACAGGGCATGAAAAGCTGGGTTAAGATTCATAGGGTCGTTGCAAATGATCAGGAAGAACTAACAAAAATGTTCCACTTAGTGGTACAGAGAGAAAGGTGAGGTGGGTTTGTTTATACATTTTCAAAATAGAGAAAGAATTGTTAATAGTTAAAATGATTACATTTAAAATTGCTGTTCTGTGGAGCATATAGCTCTGAGATATCATTGTGTCTAAATATCAGGAGAAATTCAAGCAACACTGAGGGACTGGTGAATGAGAGCACTCCTCAGTGTGGACATAAATCCATCTGCTACCAGGCCATTAACAATCTCCAGTGAATTTTGCTGGGAGAATCGTCTGTGAGCAGGTCGCTCTGGAGGTGTTCACCAGGGGCAATCTTACACAGGCACTGTCAGCAGCAAGGTGTTTTCCAGTATTCCTCCTGCCTTAATCTAAGCAATTCCTCTGTCTGGATTCTCCCAGGTGTCTGGTAGGAAGGGAGCAATGAAAATGGCAGCTCTGCTGGAATCCAGAGGAGTGAAACTCTCCTTCTTGCTGGACGAGGGAAGCGCGGTACTGGACGGGATCGTTGCCGGAGTGAAGAAGCCAGTGGCTCTGTAAGGAGAACACGAGTGCTCCTGATGAAAGTGATTCATTTTCAATAATTAATTAGTGATTAATGACCTTGCTAATGTCACTACAGTATGTTCTCAAGGCGTGGGGCAGCGTTGGTGTTGCTGCAGCAGTGGCACAAAGTGTAAGCCAAGGACCTTCAGCCTTTGCTTGCTGTCCATCACAGCTGTGCTGACAGAGGCAGAATGTTCCACTTAGCCCTTGCAAGCATTTTAATTTTGTGCTGGGGAGAAGCAGCCAAGACATCAGTCCTCCAGACATCTAAATACTGTGATAATGATTTGGTGCTGCTGCTTCTTGGGTGTTTTTTATGATACCAAAACTACACACAGTAGTTATTTTTATCTGCAGCCTGTGTATGTGTGTTTGGGGTTGGTTGCATGAATCACTTATTTGTTTATTTATTGACTTATTTGTCTATCATTGAGCAGAATTGCTGTCACAGAAAAGGGTTCAATGACACTGAACTTCACTGTGGAAAAAACACCAGGACATTCATCCTTTCCTCCTAAGGAGACAAGTATTGGCATTCTTGCAGCAGCCATGTCCAGGTGAGAGTTTCCCTGTCATCCAACATCAAAGACAGTCAAGCAGACTCCCAAGTCACTGATATGTGACTTTTTTAATATTTGTACTTAGAGTCTTTTTCAAATTCCTGTCAATATATTTGAAATTGCAGTTTGTAGCTCACTTTGAAGGGCAGAAATACAGCTCCCAGCAAAGGGACAATTGCCAGGTGTCTGCAGTGTCTTTTCACTTCAGCTGTTCCCAGTGTCAGTTGATTCTTTAAAAGCAAGACAAGTGCTGTCTACCCTAATTTACTCTGTAGCAATAGAGATTCCTTTGTCTGGGCTGCAGGATTTCTCTGGAATTTATTCCTGCACATGCCTGCTACCTCAGCTGGTAATTCTCCAAGCCAGTAAACATGGTGTAGAGTCATAATGTGACAGCATAAATCGTCTCTTTACCTGTCTGTGTAGATACCAAATTGGCTAATAAATATATATTTTAAAAAAGTTAGTATGTCCAGGCATGGTGGAATTTGCTGTGATGTGTTCCTAGATTTCCATGTATTTATAGGAGTCAGGCTTTGAGATTTTTTCAGCTGTTTTTCAAAGAAAGTCTTTGAAAAGACTGGAACGCCCAGAAATCTGTGGAGCTGTGCTCGCAGATTCACTCACCATGAGAGCTAAGTGTGATTGCATCTCAAATATAATTCAGAAATCAAATTCCTGTCAACCTTCTGGAGCAATAACAGCCAGAGATTTTTTTTTTTTTTTTTTTAATTTTTTTTTTTTTAAATTCCAAATGCTGTTTGTTTTGCAGACTGGAGCAGAATCCCTTGCGCAACCTCTTTGGCCACGGGCCAGAGCTCATGACTATGGAGCACCTTGCAGCAGAGGTGAGGAAAGCAGCTTGATTTCATTCCCAGATTTCCATATTAATAAGTGAAGAGTAACCCAGCTTATGAATTTAGAGCACAGCTAGGTCCTGGAAAGGAGAAGATTTCAGCTGGCCTTTCTCCCAGATAATTGTTTCTGCTGGAATTGTTTCAGCCCTAGCCAAGTGACTGTGCCGTGCTCTTGGAAACTGGAAACTTTCTGATTTGTGGCTTTATTTCTTCCCCTTAGTTCAGGTTTCCTCTCAATCTCATCATGAGCAATCTGTGGCTGTTTTCACCTATTGTCAGCAGGTAAGCAAGAAAAAAAGATCCTTGATAAACCTTGAAAGATGAAGCCATTTCTAGCCTTCCCAGGAAATCAGTTACATTATTTTACAGTTCAGGCAATTCAGTGTTTTACTGTTAATAAGCACTTCCTTAATTGAACAAGCCATCATTCAGCTTATTGCCTGTAGAATTGTGGTGCTTGTGTTCTAGGAATGTTCACCTTGTTTGAAAATTTTTGTTTGTTTCTTTCTGGTTTTTTTTTAAGAGTTCTCGCCTCGAAACCTTCCACCAACGCCTTGATTCGAACGACGACTGCAGTCACCATGTTTAATGCAGGAATCAAGGTACTTTCATTTGCATTTTTCTCCATGTAATAGGATGAGACAGCTAGGACATTTGATTTCCAGCTATTTATATCCCTTTATAAGATCAGTATGGGCCCTGTTTGTCACCACCTGTCACCACCACTCTCATTCCTCCCTCAGATGCGGTTTGGATTTGGCTACAGTTGAAAATCGCTTCCTTTCCGAAGTCTCTGATCTCTGTCAACCAGTCTTAAGGTTGTTAATGCTTTAGGCCAGACAAGAAAGAGTGTTTTCTGTGTAATCCTACAAAATATCAACGACAGTATTTGAAACTCACAGTCATAAGCACTTCCCTGGCCCAGGTGGGGTCTTGTGTTCGTAGGACAGGGCTGGTGTTTGCCCTTAAGCAGGGTTAGTTTGCACCTTGGACTGAGAGATAACAGCTTCTGGCTGATACAGCCAGATCCTGCCCTGATAAGGAGGTGTAGCTGTCCAAAAATCCCATAGCCCTGGAAAATAAACAGGCTGTTTGGTGTGTCCCTGGAAAAATCTGTTACTGAAAAGCATCACTGGACAAGAAAACAAAATGCAGTGGCTGAACAGTGACACGGAGTGGCCAGGAGAGAACTGACACCCTGGTTACTTGCTGTCTGGTTTTTTCCTAGAGATCATGCATTTTTTGTTTAACAAAGTTATAAATATTCATTCTATAGAAAAGAAGAGTAATGTGTGTTCAGTTACATCATTTAAGTGACTTATATCTCATATTTGGGGGAAAGGAACATGACAATGAGGTAAAAATATTGCTTAAAAGGGAAACCAAAATAAAGTTTCTGAACTTCTCAGTAGAAAGATTCTGAAGGGAGAGGGCTTAGCTCAAGATACCAATTTCTACATAAGGGCTAATTTAATTTTTGTTGAATTTATGAATGTTTCCTTGTATGCATTTTAGATGAGATTTACTGTGTTTTAACACAAAAAGAGATATCACACTACATGGAAATCATGAAGCATTAGGCTGAGGCCTGGAGTTGTTTGAGTTCCTGAGTTTGCAGTTGGCATTTTAATCAGTTTTTAACTTCCTTTTAACTTTGGCCCTTCCTTTCTGTTCTAGGTGAATGTCATCCCTTCTTCTGCAAAAGCCACCGTGAACTTCCGGATCCACTCGGCCGAGACGGCTGCTGAGGTACCCACTGACCCCCCCCTGCAGGGCCTCAGCTTCCCAAATCCTTTTGTGCCAAAGAGCAGCACAAAACACCTTCCCTTCCCGAGCCTTTGCTGGAAGTTTTTCTTCCTAGAACTTTTTTTTCCTGGGTGATTTGGATGATACAACTCCCAGTAGCAGCAGGTTGACCACCCTGCCTTTCAGGATTGAAGCAGTTCATGAACACCTCGAGACAGGGATTGCACTGGGGTTAAAAAATTCAGCTGAAGTATCAGAATCCACTGAGGAAGAGGAAGAGAGGCTGACACACAGTTTCAACAGCCACAATTGACAGTTCACAGGCAAATGTTTTCTGGAAAGCAGAATGTCTGCTGATGTCTGTAAGGGATGCTGTCTCATTTCTTGTGCTTATTTGATCTTCTGTGTTTTACCCACAGGTGCTGGAGGCAGTTAGAAAAACCATTGCTGATGACAGAGTGAAGATTGATGTAGTAGAGGCCTTTGATCCACTCCCCATCAGTCCTTGGGATGAGCAGACATTTGCAGTCCATATTTTTCAAAAAACCATTCTGGACACTTTCCCAGATGTTGACAGTGTAGTCCCAGGTAACAGCAGGCACATGATGATTGTTTCCTCTCCAGCTTCTGCCCTGCTTTTCTCTGCCCCCTCCCCCATTTGTTTCCATTTGCTGTGTACTTCTCCACCCCAGCTGTTAACTACTGGAAACAGCTGTTTTTTCCTCTTTTTATTCCGTTCCCTCTTTATGCTTTAAAAGTTTTAATGTTGGGTGTTTTTTTTTTTAAGTAGTGGAAGTAAAAGAGCAAACAGGAAGCTGACAGAAACAATGAGCCTTGAATTGGACTCTCTGCACATACAAAGGAATCTCTTCAGGGAAGAAAGGGATTGTGAGGGAGAGGAGGAGGTCTTCTTGCTTTAGGTCTTCTTTTATTGTTTTCATAGCTGGCAAAGCCATTCCTGCTTTTCTGTATTGTTCCTTAGGATCCCAGCCCCTTCCCTTTCTTGCAGCTCCTTCCTAGTTCTGTGTGTGTTTGTTGGACTGCAGTTTGAAGCTTAAACTTTTGGAGAGGCTGTTCTTAGACTGAACTGTGTGTTCAGCTCCTGTTCCCGGAGGAGAGGACGTCCCTCCAGGATGTACCAACCCACTGTTTCCAGTGATGCTGCTTTTGGTGCAGGCAGTGGTTACACAGAGCTGTTATCAGCTGCCTTTCCCTTCTCCTGGGGGAAATGGGGGTCATTAAAAAGCTGCTGTGATGCAGAGTGAACCTCTGGGGCCTGTTTTCCAGGCACGTGCATTGGAAACACGGACAGCAGGCACTTCACCAACGTCACCAGCGCCATTTACCGCTTCAACCCGCTGCTCCTGACTGCAGATGATCTCCCCAGGTACTGAGCTCTGCCTGCTGTGGGCAGCTGCTGGGCTGGGCAGCAGGGAAAGGGAAGATCCAGCTGCCTCAGGCAGAAGGAAACCCAACCTTGTGTACCTTGGCGTGCTGGTGGCGTGGCCTCACGCCTGGCCAGGCCACCCATTTCCTGCAGATTTGGGTGCTGCTCTAACAGGGGTGGAAATTACGCTGGGAGAGCATCAGCCCTCACTAATTGTTCCTTCAAATGCAGGCAGGGCTCGTTTAGGTGTTCCATTTGGTAGGTCAGCAATGCTGTGGAGCTCACTGTGGTGCAGGAGTGTGAAAGGTGGTGTTCTGGTGGTTGGCCTTGTCCAGGAGATTTATCCACATTTTTGGACACATTTCACTCTGAATTGATTTGCTCCTTAAGGCTGGAAATTAGGTTTCCTGAAGTAAAGTGATAACAACATCATCATGCAAGGGATTATTTGCTCATTTAGCATGTATTAGATATGTCATTTTATGGAGGTGCAGATGCTGCAGAGGAGTGTTCTGGCTGTGCAGGACAGTGACATAACTGGCCAAGAAATGGGCAGAGAGCTGGAATACTGTTAGGATTTTTTTTCCACATACACCACAGACATAGTTGTTTTGTTCTGAGCCTTAGAATCAGTAAATTTGGTTTGGCTATAGTGCAGAATTTTCTGTTCATGTTGTGCATTGCTTTGTGAAGCCAACAGGCAAGAACGGTGCTGGGCACGTGCAGGAGGGTCACAAATACACACTGGAATCAAAACCACTCCTCTTTTTTCTTCCAGGATCCATGGGTTGAATGAGAGAATCTCCATTGAGAATTATGAGAAACAGGTCGAGTTCCTCTTTCAGCTGATCAAGAACTGTGACATTGACACTCTTCCAGAGCCCCACTCCAGCTCCCACGAGCTGTGAGAGACACCCTGAGAGGAGCAGCTGCTGAGGTGGCCTGTGGGACACGGGGGGCTGGGCTGAAGGTGCAGTTCTGTGCTGGCCATTGAGCTCCATCTGGAATTTGGGGGCTTGTATATGGTGGTTTACATACAGATGGGAAAACTGCTGGTTGCTGCTTTGGGAAAATGTGTGGTTTGCCACAGAACCTGCATGAAACACAACAAATAACCCTGATTTCTGCTCCTCCCTGGTCTGACGTGCAGCCATTAATCTGACATTAATTTTTTCTTTAAGCCTCTGAAATTGGCAGTCACTTAAAAATCTAAGCTGTAATCAGCAGTCACTCGCCAGTGAGAGGTGAATCATCCTCTGGGCTTTTGGCAAACTCATTTTATACAGTTAATTTGACTTTTCATTCCTCTGAATGAGGTGTCTGTCAGCAGCTCACGTGGAAGGTTTGTGACGTGCTGAAAGGTTTCATGTAGAGTCACACTAAGAGTTCAAAATTGCACTGCTGGGTTTGGGCTGCTTTCCCAAGGGGATTCTCCCAGGCTGCTTCCCCAGGGGATGCTCTCAGCCAGCATCCAAGGTGCTCTCAGCCAGTGTCAGTGTTACCTCCCAACTGCCAAGCTCTTCCATTCATGCACTGATTTCTGACTCTGTTTTAAAATACTGAGCTCCAGAAGTTGCTGTAACTGATGAGGTGCTGAAAACTTTTCTTCCTGTCTTCTTAGTGATTTTTTTTTTCTGTTTTCCTCCCTGACTCTTTGGTGTGGCTCAGGGTATGTTGTGCAGCTGGGTGTCAGAGTAAAGGGATTGCAGCTCGAAATAAGAAACTAACCCAGTGCTGTCAGCTCATCTATTTTCTCTTTTCACTGACTCAGTTCCTGTACTGTATGTTTCTCATTTGCTCCTCTGAGAACTTGATTGTGAAAGATGTGAAGCCCTTCAGCTCCTTCCAGTTCAGTGGAACCAGAGGTTTGTTCCTCCACTGCCTGTGCAGTTTTCACTTTGCTGCAGCACTTCCACTGCCTCAGTTCTTTGGGAATCCTGGGGTAGACAGGCCATTGATGTTGACTCTGTTTCATCTTGCACTTCCTGCCTGTCCTTGATAGCACTTTTGGCCTTGTTGGTCTCTTTAGCTGGGGTTAACCAGTATTAATTAAGCAAATAAATAATTAGCACCTCGGTATTAGCCAAAGAGAAGCCTGGGTGAAAGCTGCCTTGTAGCACTGACACACAGTCACATATCTCCTCCTGCTGCAGAGATGTGTCTCTTTTTCACAACCTGAGTTACACACTGGAGTGGGTGGTTGTTCTGCTCTGAATTCATGCTGTAAAATGTATTGGAATGTACAGGAAATACCATGAAATGTATCCTGAAAAACACTGATGGAACTGTGATTCCTCTTCTCTCTGTTCACCATTCTCTTATTTATTTGCAATGTGATCTTATCATTGTGGCCAGAGGGCTACAACTCTACCACCTACTAAATAATTGAAACAAGATTGATGTTTTCATCTAATAAAACAAGGAATTTGGATTCTTTTCTGATTGTTATTTAGTCTTTTTATGTAACTGTAATTGCAGTGAAGTCATTTCCACACCTGATTCTACGCTGGAGCAATTCATAAAGTTTCCATCAAAACAAACCCACGTTTTTTTTTTCCAGCCAGCTTTGATCTTTTGCACCCTCCCTGGTGCTCCCCCTTCCTATACAAAACCAGCTAGCTCTGTTCAGGCATTATTGGGCAGTAAATAGTTGCATCTTTTATGGTTTGCTGCACTTTGTCTGTGTGCCCCAGCGTCAGTGATTTGTTCAGCCACGTGCCTGTGGCTCTTTTGTGAAGGTGTCATCCCTCTTGCAAACTCCTGTTGCAGGCACAGCAAAAGTGATGTGTCAGGGCCCAGCAGAGAATAAAACACAGCCCCGGGGGTGGGAGGTGCAGAAAGGTTTTGTTGTTGGGTTTTTTTCGCTGGCAAATCTCTGTAAAACTGAGTCTGAAGCCTTTGCTGTGCGGGGTCAGTGTTGTTTAACACCTGATGGTTGTGCTGCCGGTCAGAGGGACCTCCACAGGCTGGAGAAATGGGAGAACAGGACTGGCATGAGGGAGCACGGGTGGTGAAAGTCCTAACCTGGGTCATGCTGTTGGGGTGTGGAAGGAGGGGTTCGTTGCCTCTTGCAACAGCAAAGGAGGCCTAAAGACACACAGCATCCTTTATATTCTACAATCTGCTGGCCCCAAATCCCTCCCCTCTGTGTTTTGGTGAGGATTGTTTCCTTGTGGGACGTTCATCTGAAGGTTCATTTTGCTGCTGAAGGAAAAGTGAAGGGCAAACAGCTCTGGGAAGGCAGGGCTGCTTTTGGCAGGTGCTGTGCAAACGTGTGCCATGAGACTTCTCTGCAGAGCCTCATTAAGTGCTGCTCATCAGCTGGTGCTGAAATCATGCAGTGCCTCTGCACTGTTCAGCAGAGCTCTGCTGCAGCCTGAGCCCCCCAAACCCCAGGGATGTGCTGGCCTTTCCTGCTGAGATCACCTACAGCTTTGCCTGGGGTGAGTAGCTCCTCGCTGATGCCAAGTGCACCCTGAAAACACAGATTATTAACTCTCAGAGCTATTCTTTTTTGGTTGTAATGAGTCACTGTGCCTTGAGCATGGAGAGCAATTACCTCTGACTCATCAGAGAAGGAAAAGCCTGATTTTCTGCTCTGAAGACAGGTAACTTGGTGTCATACTAATGATTTGAGCACTCTGTTAGTCCAATTCCAGTGTGTTAACATTTTTGTGTTATATCCATAGCAACTTCCTTGTTTCCCTGCCTTTCCCCGAGTCCACAAAGCTGCCGTTCTTCTGACAGCTCTAAATGACGTATCTGCAGTTGCCCAGTCATCCCAGCCTGCTGTGGGCCAGCTGATTTAAGGACATGAGGACCTGCTACACCGTGGAGAAAAGGTCACATTCCACACCTGCATTTTCTAAAGAAAGCTCTGTTGCTGGCCTCTGTTTCACAGGGCTTGGTTTATTTTCAGCCCTGAGTGACCGTGGGGAGTTCAGGCCCAGAGCTGCAGGAGGACGCAGGAACAAGGTGTTTACAGAGTTGTTTCCTCCAGCTTGGCATTTGACACTTGCATTCTTGGCTCCTCTCTTGCCATTTTATTTGGTATTCCACGGAGCTGGCAAAATCCATTTTCTCCAGCAGGTGCTGTGAAAACTCCCCCTTGCCCAGAGCAAGACACGCACTGAGGAATCCGGAGGCTGCTCAGCCACAACCTGCAGAGGTGAGCATTCCTCACCTCCAGCTCAGCCTGTGACCCTTAACTCTGTGCTCTTCAGTGGTTGAACCCTGCACAGATTCTTGCCAGTGTGTTCTGTCCTCCCCTTGCTGGTGCTCTGAAACTTTTAGACATGTTTGTCCTTTTAATCCACGAATTCGGGTTCTTGTGACGACGCTTTAAAGATGCACTGCTGTGAGGTCTCTCTACAGCACCAACATCTCCGTGCCTGGAGTGGTGCAGAAGTGCTGCCCAGGGGTTGTTTGGCCCAGCTGAGCAGCTCAGGGCGGGCTGTGTGACATCAGGTTTGCCGTGCAGGGGGTTTGGCTCCGCTTTCCGCTCCCACACTTCCCGGGGCAGCGGGCGGTGGAGATAAAGAGCTCAGCGTGGTGGGGAAGGGAGGGCCCTGCCCCCTGCTCGGTGCAGATCACTGAGCTGATTGAAGAGCTGTGGTGGTGGGCCCCAGAGGAAGCTGCAGCCAGTTCTCAGCAGGAAGGAAAATGACCACATGGAAGGGTGGTGAGGGCAGGGGACAAAGGGAAAACGCTCTTTGGCACTGATGGATTTACCCACAGCCTGGGCAGTGGGGTTTAGAAGTGGCATGTAGCATTTCCCAGGGTGCTTTTCATGCATTTTAACTTGTATTTTCAATCCAACACAATGCATGGTTTATTGCAGCCCTGTAAATAGTCCACTTGAACACTGTGCCTGGTGTTGCAGTAGAAAGGTGACCCCCACGGAGGTCCCTTCCAACCCCAAGTATTCAGTGATTCTGTGAAATAGAAGGGAGTTAAAGTGATGGTTTTCATTTATTCTTTTTTAATACCAGCCTCTGCCCTGCCCAGCCTTGTGGTATTGGTGTTTTCTTCAGCCCAACTGCTGAATGTAAATGAGCTCACAGCCCATATTTGGAACAAACCCAAAACGTGAGGCACATCCTCAGTGCCTCCAGGACAGGTGTCCATGTCCCTGCTATCTCACCGGAACCACTGGCCCTGTGGAGCACAGGAAACCAGGACCTTCCAGCTCCTCTCTGCCAGGAGCTCTCACGTGGCCAAAAGCCCGAGGGACGGACCTGGCTGGGGCTGAGCCGTGTTTGTCACAGCACGTGGGTGACACAGGAACACAGCTGGGAGCACTGCTCGTGTGGGCCTTGGGAAAAATAAAAGGATGGTGATGGGGTTGTTTGCTTCCAGGCTGGCAAAGCAGAATTTCCAGGATCTGCATTTCTTCTCCCAGCTCAGGGTCAGCCTCTGACATCGTTGCCTGCCTTCGTGAGCTGCTTTTGCTCTGGGCTGACACCTGAAGGGGTAAGTCACGACCACTCTTTGAGTTTGCCTGTTGGGATTTCTGTTTGCAAGTACTTAGGAACTCGGTTCCTTTGGGATCCTTGGTCAAAGGCAGCTGGGACTGCACTGACACCTGTGACAGAGTGGTGGAGCTGGAACAGGGGCAAAGGCACCTCTCAGGGCACTGTCAGCTCTGGATTAGGGGGATGTTTTGAGTGACTTTGGCCAAACCCTTTTATTTTGCTGGATTCTGTGCAAGGGGGAGTCACCCCGTACCCACTGTGGGCTCTCAGGCTGTTCCTGAGTGCTGGCCCAGGGCTGGACAGTTTGACAGTGCCAAAATCACGTGGCTGCTGTCAAACACACGGGCACGACATTCCCTGATCCAACGCAGCTCAGTGGTAAACCCTTCCCTTTCCAAACACTTTGTTGCCTTTGGTACCTGCTCCCTGCAATTGGAAACCCATTTCCTGCCCTTTCATCCTCTGCCTCTCTGATCTCTGCTCCGGTGGGGGGGGGTTATCTATTTCTGTGTTCTTGTCTCAGGCAGCTTTTGTCTCCACACTTCCACTTCCTGAGCGTGCAGGTGGCCTGGGCAGCACCAAGGTCAGGTTTTGGTGTGCCTTGTTTTTGGGGAGGGGAGGGAAGAACGGTTGTTCCGGGGCAGATACGGATTTTCCGAGTCAGGAAGGAAAGATGCAGGCGGAAGGAGAGCCCTCCCCAGGTTTATTTGGACAAAGGAGAACAGAGGCTGGGGTTGGAGGCAGGATTTGGAGCTCCAATCCCAGCCTGAGTGTGGAAGTGTGTTGTGGTTTTAGTTCAAAAATGTCTCTGTATGTCTTAAGTTTTCCTTGAGGTCTCTTTGCTGGTGTCACAAGGGGAGGGTTTGGGAATTAGGGAAGTGACTCCAGAGGCTCCTCAGCCCTTGAAATCACAGAATGGTTTGGGTTGGAAGGGACCTTAAACATCATCTCATTCCACTCCCTGCCATGTGCAGGGACACCTTCCCCTATCCCAGGTTGCTCCAAGCCCCATCCAGCCTGGCCTTGGACACTTCCAGGGATGGAGCAGCCACAGCTTCTCTGGGCAACCTGGGCCAGGGCCTCCCCACCCTCACAGGGAAGGATTTCTTCCCAATATCCCACCTAACCCTGCCCTCTGGCAGTTTAAAACCATCACCCTTGTCCTGTCACTCTCTGCCCGTATGAAGTCCCTTGTCAGAGCTGCTTTCTGTAATCAGTTCTCCTGCTCTGCTCCACGTGTTCCAGCCACCCTCTTCTCCCAGAGCAGCGAATATTTCAGGAAAAAAAAACCTCCCCTTGCTCAATTTTTAATGAGAGCAGACAGAAACAGAGCAGCAGAGCCCAGAGCTTCAGATCACAATGGATCCCCTGCTGCCCACAACTGCCTTGGCTTCCTCGAGGAATGAAGTCACCAGCTCCAGTCACACTTGTGTCCCTGTATCCATGGGGGAAATGTGGTTCCTGTGCTGCCCTCCCCCTTCCCCCTGCATGGGTGGTTGTGTCACAGCCACCCTTATTGGCCCAAAACCTGTCTCCAAGGCCTGGAGCTGGGGATCACGTCATCACCCTGAGTAATGACTTGCTGCTGACTGTTTCCTGGGAGGAAAGGAAAGGCAGGAAGGAAAAAACAACTGCTCATAAGTTCCACTCATGCAAAAAACCCCACAAAAAACAAAGAAAAAAAAAGGGGAAAATAAAAGGAAAACATGAATCAGAAGAGCTGGTGTCATTCAAGAACATGACATTCTGCAGAGCATTGAGGAACCTCTGCAGCAGGAGGTTTAATGCTTTTTGTTTGTTTGTTGGGGAACAGTTTGGAGTAAACAGGCAAAGTGTGGACGTGACAATATTCCTGATTATTTTCCTGAACTCCACCAGTCTGGCAGAGGCCTGAAAGCCAGTGGGTACCACTTGTACCGTGTCGGTGCTCCTGGGCCTGGCTCCAGCCACATTCCCCTGGATGGGGGATAACCAAAGCACAGATCCATAGTGGGATGGATGGATGGATGGATGGATGGATGGGTCACAGGACAGTGGGATGGATGGATGGATGGATGGATCAGGGGATTGCAGATAGATGGACAGTGGGATGGACAGATGGATGGAGAGCACGGATGGTGGATGGCCAGCAGGATCACTGGATCCTGGCACAGCACAGGGATGGATGGATTGGATGGATGGAGTGAATGGATGGAGGGATGGATGAGTGAATGGATGGATGGGTAAATGGATGGATGGGTGAATGGATGGATAGATGAATGGATAGATGGATGAATGGATGGAGGGATGGATGGGTGAATGGATGGAGGGGTGAATGGATGGATGGATGGAGGGAGTGATGGATGGGTGAATGGATGGATGGAGGGTGAATGGATGGATGGGTGAAGGGAGGGATGGATGGGTGAATGGATGGACAGACGGACGGATGGACGGGCAGGGATCGCTCCCCCTGCTCCACGCGGACTCTCCCCCACGTGACCCCCCAGGCCACGCCCAGCGCCGCGAAGTGGGCGTGGCCTCCCATCCCCTCCCCGCCGCGGTCCTCGCAGAGAGGGCGGGGCTCGGAGTGACGCCACGCGCCTGCAGCCAATAGGAGCGCGGCGCGGCGCGCTGGGCAGGGCCCCCATTGGCCGGGGGTGATGTCAGGGCGGCGCGCGCCGGGCCCGGCGGGGCAGAGCGGGGAGAGCGGCCCGGGGAGCGCTGAGGGAGCCGTGAGGGGAGCCGTGAGGGGAGCCGTGAGGGGAGCCGTGAGGGGAGCCGTGAGGGGAGCCGAGAGGGAGCGGCGACGGAGGTGAGAGAGCGATGAGGGAGCCCTGAGGGATCGCTGCGGGAGCGGCGGCACGGCGGGCACACGGCGCGGGACCGGCTCCGCTCCGCTCCGGGCAGCGATCCCCGCGGTGTCCCCGCCGCGCTCCGGCAGCGCCGGTCCCGCTCCCCCAGCCACGCCGCTCTGCGGGCGCTGCGGCACCGGCGGGCGGGGGCAGAGCCCCGGCCGGGGGCTCCGGGGGTCCCTCTGTCCCCTGGCACGGCCCCGCTGAGAGGGGAAGAAGAGCTGAAGGGGATAGTCCGGGGTGCGTTGGAGGCTGAACCTTCGGCACAGAAATGAAGGGGCTGTTGTGCTGCCGTGGAATCCAACGGAGTATCTGTTTCCCTCCCTTGTATTTCAGGTGAAAGGCGAGTTCTTGGAAAGCCGCGTCAAATCCAGGGCTGTCCGAATGCCAGAGCCCACCCTGCAGCCTGCCCAGCTCAGTGAGCGACCTTAACTGGGGACCTGCTGTTGCTCTGAATAAGAGCTGTGGTCGCCTTGTGCTGCTGGGTGAGAAATTCTCCTGGAAGAGGAGGACGGCAGTGACACTTGGAGCCTGCTGGGATTGCTGGCAGAGAGCGCAAGCCAGGCTGAAACAGAGCAAAAAAACCCACAGGAGACTTCAGACTGGAATCCTGCAGGGACACAGTGCTGTTGGAGACAGCAAGAGAAGGTAGCAGAAAGAGCTTTTCCGTGTTGGATCATCTCTACAAGCCAGGTTTTCTCCCTGCCTTGGGTGCTCCATCACAGCAGTCGCGCTGCGGGAAGAGAACCTGGATAAAGATGCACTAAAGTGTCAGACGTCAGAGAAGGAAAGCTTGGATCCTGCCTTGGAGGCTGCTGTAGCAACACAGCACTGGAGAGGAGAACCAGAGGGAATTAACTGGCCATTGTCCCCAGTTCCTGCTCTCTCAGTGGCTGGTGTCCCCCGTGCCTGGACTTTGCTTGATGGGGATCTCTGCTGCAGGAGCAGGCTCTGCACTCCAAGGCAGGCGAGCAGGGGTAGGAGAGGTCACTCCTAGATGCCGGAAAGGCCATTTGTGTAAGCTCCTGGCAGAAGATCTCCTCTGGAACAGCTGCTGGCTGTAGGCCCACCGAGCCAAGGGTCAGGATAGCCTCTGAACAGCATGTCTTCCAAGCCTGACAAGAAGGAGACCCACCAGGCCAACGGGGCTGTGCCTGTGGACCATCTCAGCAGTGCGGCCCAGGGGCAGCTGGTGGAGCCCTCAGATTTCCTGGGCCCTGCTGCAGTGGAAGCAGTGGTGCTGGAGTCCCGTGCCAACGCCAAAGGGGTGCGGGAGGACGATGCCCTGCTGGAAAATGGCAGCCAGAGCAATGAAAGCGATGACACCAGCACACACCAGAGTCCTGAGCCAGCCTCACCCCTCAAGGAGACCTCCTTTTCTATCGGGCTGCAAGTCCTCTTCCCGTTCCTCCTGGCAGGCTTTGGGACAGTTGCTGCTGGAATGGTGCTGGACATTGTGCAGGTAGGACTGATGCTTCCCTGGCATGGCACTGGGCTCCAAATCCTGCCTCTTGGAGCCAGGAGGGACTGGAATGCCAAGGCCAGTTCAGCAGGTGGCAACAGGGAGGGAAGGAGACCCTCCCTGGGTCTGGGGAGGGGGAGACAGGGAGACCTTGGTGATGTGTGGAATGAGGGAAGGAGAGGCTGAGGGCACCCCTGCACAGCTGTGGCTCAGAGGGGGAGGTCACAGCTGGCACAGTGTGGGACCTGAGACCACGCTGCATCACAGCTTGAAATAAAGCCCTTCCCTGATTGTGGCTGGTGCCATCCCAGCCCTGGTCACTAATTCCACTTGTGTCCCTTTTCCATCTTGGGTGCTTGCTGTGCCAGGCTCGTGCCAACCAGGTTAATGATTCTCCTGCCACAGCGTGTGCTGGACACCTGTGCTGGGGGCTCATTCGAGCTTGAAGGCCACATGTGGCCCCTTCACCTCCTCCTCATGCTCCTGAAGCGGCCAGGGGTGCCAGGGCTAAAGGAGTGGTTCCTCCTGGGAGGTATGTGGAGGTGATCCTTAGGACAGGCCTGCCAGAGAGCTGCCAGTGAGCTCGGGATGAAAACCGTGTTACCTTGGCAGGTGATACTGTGGGAAGCTGACAGCCTGGCAGCCTGTTTGTGTTTTTATGTGGGAATTGGTGCCTCTGGAAGCTGTGGCTCCTGCACTGGTCTCTGACACGTTTTCCAAGCACGTGTGTCTGGCAGCAGAGGAGTTGCTTCACCCCTTCTCCTTTGCCCTGGAAGACAGGCTGGGCAGAGCTGTCTGATGCCCAGCCCAAAGCAGTGACTGAGGCTCAGAACTCGCTCATCTGTGCAGTGCAGGTTTATGAAACTCTTTGGATGGGGGAGGCAGCCATTTTGGAGCTGTGGTCAACCAAAAATGCTCTGCTTGAAGCTCCTCTCTTTGCTCCAGTGAGGTAAACAAGCCCTGGAGTGTTGGCAGAGAAGGGCTCGAGTGTCAGTCCTGGGTGTTGCTGGCAGTTCAGATCATCCCCTCCACAGCCCTGTGCCAGGCTAAGTCAGTCAGAGGGTTTTTTTGGGCTCGTGGGTGGTCAAGCAGACAGTCCTCGTGGTGTCCTGCCCGTAACAGCAGTTTCCCTGCGTGCCTTTGCACTCTGGTCATCCTTACGGCCTCTCCTGGCCGTTGAGAGAGCTGTGAAGTGACTCAAAACAGGAAAGGCTGGATGTGCTAAATTAATCCGGGGGAGAGAGATTTACTGGAATCATTTTCTTAAAAAGAAAGACATTTCAAGCAGTGTTTCCCTCGGCAAGGTCCCTGTGAGCTCGTGCTTGGCTCTCCTGGAAGTCGCCCAGAGCCGGGGATTTGAACCCAACCTAAAGTTTTTCCTGGAGAAGGAGCAGCCCTCCTGGCTGGGAAGGGGCTGGGATACTGCAGCTGAGCCCTGTGCTCTCTCCTGCCTTTCTCTTTTATGGCCATTGGAAATACAACTTTGTAATTCCTGTGTCCCACAGCAGCCCAGCGTGTGGCCGTGCAGCTTTTCCTGCCAGCAGCTCTAACTCCCTTCAGCCTCGGGATTAAATGAGGATTCAAATGCCATAGGGTGGGAAAGGGGGATGGGGAAGTTTGTTGGCTTGGCCTGGGGAGCTGATCCTGATAACTGGCTTCCAAAGGCTCAGAGCCTTGGATGAAAGGAGGAAGCATGTGGAGTGGGTCACTGGAGCCCCGTGGCTTTGGATGCAGCCGTGGTTGGCGCTGGCTGGGGGGCTCCATGCACTCCACGTCCTGTGTTTTGGAGAACTGGACTAATCAGCCAGCTGTAATTGGTCTCCCCACTGGGAAAACAAGCAGCTCTGGCCTTTGGCCATGCTGTCCCATTAACGTGTCCCTGGGAATGTGCCCCTCAGGAGGAGGATTTGCCTCTGCTGCCTCTGGGATGGAGGAGACTCCAGGCCAGGTACATGTGAGTGCCCCGCTGGTTTTTGTGTACAGTGCAGAACCCAGCAGAGCCCCAGTTGTTGTTTTCCAGACTTATCTGCTCCCTGGAGGTTCTTTGGATGGACAGGATTTCATATGGATGAGCGGAGCCTGCTTGACCCCCTCTGGTGTTACCACCCCTCCAGGGTGGGTGTCAGGGACTGCCAGCCCTGGATTCCTGTCAGGGCTGCCCATTCCGTGGCATTTTGGAGGCAGGATGCCGGGAGAAGCAGCTGCACCACGGCAGTCGCAGCCCCGACCTGCAGCAGCCCCTCCCCTGAGCCGTGAATCACCGCCCTGCTGCGATCCGAGCAAAACCAGCTCTTCCTCATGAGCTGTGAGCCTTGACTTCACACCCAGGGACTGAAACGACACGGCTGATCCCCTGGGAACATCTGCCTGCCGGTGCAGAGCTTCCCAAAACAGCACCTGGGGATTGGTGTTTCATCCAGACCCTCCAGAGGCTGTTACAGGCAGAAAGGGATTTTACCATCTCGCTGTCCTGAACTTAAAACTCTTACTTCCTCTTCTCTTCCCCATTTTTTTTGTCTTGCCCAAACAGCCTGGCCCTGGCTCTGCCCCTGCAGCCACATCATGGGCACAGGTCTGTCTTTGTTCCCTGCAGGAGCCACGGAGCCCTTGGAGCCGTAGGAAATGCCCAAAGCCCAGTGTTGTGTAACATCTTATATTAAGAAAGTTGGCAGGAGCCCATGGGTCCTGCTCTTTGCAGTGAGCAAGCTGCTGATCTCTGCAGAAATCTCCTTGTTTTCCTTCCCCAAAGATGGCTTTTATTCCTTTCTCCAGCAACAGCCCTGTCTTGCTCAGGGAGCTGCTTCTGGCACCAGTTTGCAGTGCAGCCTCCCCTCTTAAAGCTTAATTTACAAAGCCAGGGTTGGGGCAAGGTGAGGGAGGGTTTGAGCTGGTGCTGGCTCTTGCCTGATCCTGCCTCTGTGATCTCTGGAGCCAGGAAAGTTTTGCACTGCAGCCCTTGGTCTGACTAATGACGATGTTCCTCTCATTAAGTGATTCTGGTGACACCCAGCTCGTCCTGCTGGGAAGTGGCAGCGTGGTGTTCACCGATTGAGCTCTGGATGCTGCTGAGGGAAGTTGTAGCAAAGGATTTCACCCGTAGACCACGCAGCAAAATAATCACAGTGACTGCTAAAAATAGAGTGGGGAGAGCCTGGCTGTGTCTTAAAGGAAGCTCAGCCTGATGTGAGGCTGGGCTGGATGGAGTGTCTGAGACTGCTCTTCTGCTCTGCTCAGCAGTGAGCACTGAGATCACACACAGTCACAGTCACTGAGGTTGAAAAAGCCCTCCAAGGTCACCAAGCCCATCCTGTGCCCAATCCCCACCTTGTCCCCCAGCCCAGAGCACTGAGTGCCACGTCCAGTCCTTCCTTAGACACCTCCAGGGATGGTGGCTTCCCCTGGAGACTGGGATCCTCAGGAGCAGAGAGAGGGTTGTGGTTGTGCCTGAGATAGCTGAGCAGCTTTTATCCCTGTACCTGGGAGCTGGAGTGTGTGGTCAGCTTGTCAGAGCATCCCACAATGGTTTGGGTTGAAGGGACCTTAAAGATCCATCTCATTCCACTCCCTGCCATGGGCAGGGACACCTTCCACCAGCCCAGGTTGCTCCAAGCCCTGTCCAACCTGGCCTTGGACATTTCCAGGGGCTGGGACAGCCACAGCTGCTCTGGGCAACCTGTGCCAGGGCCTCCCCACCCTCATCTTGTCTTACCAAGCTGCCAGAAACATAAAGGGAATTTTTACTGACTGGAAAACACTTTTTGCCTTTGAGGAAAAGTGGTCCCAGTGTATTCATCTCAAGCACTTTCCTCTCCAGTGGTTTTTCAAGTGAGTGCAGCTTGAATGTGGGTGTTGCAAAGGACCTACAGGAAACTGGAACTTGTTGGCTTAGTGGTGAGGGATGGAAAAATAAACAAAAGTGATTGAAACCCTTCCCCACAGGAAGGTATTAGTCACCCAGGTAGAGTGACTTATTATATTTGCTGGGAGGTGTTGGCCCACAAGCCTTCCTTGTCCTAGAAAGAAATCCACGTCCCTGGTGAGCCTGGCAGTCTGACACTGCCAAGAAAAGCTCTGGGAGAGGTGGAGCCTCTCCCAGGTAACTTTTGCAGGTACCATTGACGGGTGAAGCTGCAGAGCTGGGATGTTTAACGTGCCCAGCACGGCACCAGCTGCTGGGAGTGTGAGTCCAGTGTCCTTTAAGGAGTGTGGCAGCCAGGCCAGTGTGGGAAGCAGGAGTTATTTTGGACACAGGGCCTTCTTGCAACACATCCATGACAATGCAGAGAGGGGCAGTGAGGTTTGAGGGTTGTTTTTGAAATGCAACTGGGAGGTTTTTTGGAGTGGTTTTTGTGTTTTCCTGCAAGCCAGCTGCTCTTCTATAATGCTGCTTACCCTGCAATTACTCTTTGTTTTTTCCTAAATAACCATGGCTGCCTCCCTCCCTCATCCCAGGGGAGGTGACTTGACTGGAGAGCCAGAAGAGTTAGGAAATACCTGTAATGTAGGTGCCAGGTGAGGTACCAGGGAAAGGTGGCCACAGTGGGCTGGATTTTGGATCAGGGAGCAGCAATGCTTTGCTCCAAAATGTCTTTGTGAGGCACACATGTAGGAATGGCTCTCAGCTGAGACTGACCAAGCTTCAGATTCTGCCAAAAATTGCAAATATTGGGCAAAGCCTCTTCCTCTTTCCCTGTTTTGGCCTCCCTGTGCGTAAACATTTTGTCAGTTGGGGAATCTTTGGGGGATTTTTCACTGAAAATTGCCAGCTCAGAGCTGCTTTTTAAACTCAGCAGGAAAAGGAAAACGTGGTCCCTGCTACACACATGTCAAGAATTGTAAAACCACTGCAAAATTCCCAAGTGTGGCAGCGGGAAGGGGACTGGGATGGCTGCTGGGGGCAGTGCCAGGGGTTTGTATCAGCCATGCCAAGATTTAATGCTCTGTGTTTTAACCTTGCAGCACTGGGACGTCTTCAAAAACGTGACCAATTTGTTTATCTTAGTACCTGCACTGCTGGGCCTGAAGGGGAACCTGGAGATGACTCTGGCATCCCGCCTGTCCACTGCTGTGAGTGTCCAGGGAGCTGAGGGAGGGAGCGGGATGCCGGCTTTGGAAAGAGGTGGGAAGGAAAATCTCTGTGCTGGTGACCACAGACACCAGAGCCTGGAGTTCAGCATGCTGGGAAGGTGTTTTCATCCCACTGGGCTGATGGGATTTGAAGGTTTAATGGTCCTTAAGCTCTGCTGACAGTTCAGTTCCTTGTGCTGGCTGCTCAGGGGTCCTGAGGGCATGGTGAGAGATGGCTTTGGAGTGCTTGGATCCAGGGTTTTTTTCCAAGGAAGCTGGTGCAGGAATGCTATCAGAGCAGGCTGGAAGGAGCCAGGGTGGGGAGGAACTGTACAGCAAAGCAGAGGGGACCTTGCACTGAGAGCTCACAGGGGGATTGACAGGCTCTTGAAGTGATGGAGATCTCCTGCTCCGATTCAGTCGGGTTCCTGTGGAACACTGAGCTCCCTGTGAGGGATGGGGCAGGCTCTGGGAGCTCCTCGGAGCACTGGGTTAGTCCAGCTGTAAATGAATGGCTTTGTGTTTCAATGTCCCTCCAACACAAGCACTCTTGTCTCTGGAGCTGCTGGAGAGACACCAACACCCTCTCCTGACAGGGACAATAACGCTCCTTCCTGCTGCAAGGCATCTCCTGCTTGAGCATGACAGCAAGTGACTGATGTTCCTGTGTTCCCCATGATGGGAGCTTGGAACTTTACATCCAGGAGGTGTTAGCTGCCTGCTGCCAAGCTTCTGGCTCCTCTGTGCTGTGAGTTGCTGAGGAGAGAGTCCTTGCAGCAGCCAGCCTGGCCTTGGCTTCCACAGTGCTGATGTACCTTGGCTCGAGAGAGCTGCTTGGGAAGTGCTCACTGAGATGTAGGGATGGAGAACTGTCTGCCTGGGTGGCAGCAGCAACCTCCTTCTTGGCATGTTCCCTTCCCCTCAGCCTTCCCCTCCTGCTTGCTGCAGGAGAAGGCACAGCAGAGTGGAACAGGTCCTGCTGACCGTGGGGACCACCTCCTTCTTGGATGCAGCCCTTGCCCTTCGTTCCCTGGAGGAGCAGGGCCCTGGGAACGGCTGTGCCAGCACTGCCTGCCAAAAGCTGGGCTGTGGCTGCTTCCCTCGGGGCTGGGCTCCTCTGCCCAGCCACTGTGGGGAGGGCAAAGCTGCTGGGAGGCCCCACACTGCCCCTGGGCCAGCAGTGCCAGGGCCTGCAGGGACAGAGGCTGAGCTTTGTTTGCCCCTTGGTTCTGGGAAACAAATCCCTTTGTTTTATTCGCTCCCTATTGTTCGGATCCTGACAGGATCCTTGCTGTCCCAGACACAGGCCCTTCTCCCTCCTGACCTTGCCCAGCTTGCCCTTCCTGAGCATGGGCTGGGCAGGGTGAGTGCTTGGCTCTCCTGGGACAAAGGCAGAGTGGCACTTGTGCATCCTCTTCCCTCCTGGGGCTGGCACAGGGCAGTGTCGGGGCAGGCTTGGCAGTGGAAAGCCAGGAATGCAAAACTTTGCCCCATCTGCTCCAGTGGCTGCAGGAGGGTCACGAGGACACCAGCACAGAGAGCACCCACCAGCTTGGTCTGCTGGTGCCTCGTGTGCCAACAGCCAGGCTTTGGCCTCTGGGTCCCTTTGCCACGGCTGCCTCCACACGGGTCCCAGGGCCTTGCTCTCTGCCTCCTTCAAATCATGGAATTCACAGAGTCATTAAGGTTCTAAAAGACCTCCAAGATCACCAAGTCCAGCCTCCTCGTGTCTGTACATGGTGGGACAGGACAATCTCTTGGGCTCTCCTTTTTTCCCCTTGCCCTGCTCATCCCTCAGCGTGGGGTCCCACGTGCAGGTGTGGGGGGAGCTCCCCTCTGAGCGGAGCTTCCCGGTGTGGATCCCGTGCTCTCTCCACAGGAAAGCAGCCCAGAGTGGTTTCTCAGACTCTGGGTTTCTAATTAGTGCTGCATTAAGGCACCTCAGACATTCCTTTCACAATTAAGAAGCAAAACTCTCCCATTAGTTAAAGGATTTAAATCCTGTTGGCAGTGACTACAGCTAGGTTATGTTAATCCCAGCCTAATTGCCGTGTGGTTGGAATTTTAAGGTCAGGCTTCCTATGGAGCTCAAATTCCTGTGCTGAATGTGCTACTCCAGTCAACTTCTTGTTAGTTATCCCTCATTCCTTCCTCCTCTCCACTAAACTACCTGGAATAATTCACTCCAGAGCTGGGGGCATCTCAGTGCTGGCTGAACTGAGCTGGCAGTTCTCAGGCACACGCAGCAAGGAGAGCAGAGGGATTAGTTGATCATTGACTCCTGGTTTTCTTGTTTTGTTTTCCTTTGCTGGAGACCAGCAAGGAAACCTGAGGGGAGGAAATTGCTGCTGCATTGTTGTGCAGAAGTTTGGGTTTGGTGCTGTCAGGCCACAGCTCCAACACACGTTTGAGCCTCTCCCTTGCTGCCACCTTCATCAGCTTCTATTAATACAAATTAGGTACAAGTTTATATGCTCTGCTCATCCATTCTTCCATAAAAAGCCCCAGAAGGTGGTAGGGAAGAGCAGAGCTGGTGCCCTGCAGCGACCAGCAGCGACTCCACTGGGCTATTTCGGATCACACTCCAGGGAATTAAAGCAACTTTCCATCTCTCCTGGTTATCCTGATTAGCATCTCCCGCAGCTGCAGCGGTGCCAGGTGACCCCTGTGCCAGGGCTGCTTCCCGCCAGTCCATCCCCACGTGGCACTGGCCTTGTTTACTCAGCTTTTAACCGAAACAGGGTGTTTTTGCTGCCAGCTTCCTCTGCCCACGTGCTGCCCTGGCCTCGCTCCGTGTGGGAGCAGGGGCACACACAGCTGACCTGGCACCCCTGTCTCCCTCCTGCCTGGCTGACCTGAGGGGCAGCGTGACCCAGCTGGGCCTGAGCCAGGCTTGGCTGGATCAGCAGGGCAGTGAATTGTGGTGGGTCAGTGAGCAGCAGGGTGTGACTACAAAGGGACACACAGGGGGGGATCTCGGTGCTCTTGCAAGATTTCCAGCAGGTAAATCCAGAGCAGCAGTTGGAAGAGGTGCTGTAGTTACCCAGGGTGAACACCCCAAGGGACAGTCACAGCCTGTGCCCCAGCTGGCCTCTCACACCTGCAAACACACCTCTGCAGAGCTGCAAGGCAGGAATTTCACTTGTTGGCCTGTGCAAAGTGCTGTCAGTCTTTAATGATATTCCATGTCCTTTTACAGGCTAATATTGGCCAAATGGACACACCCAAAGAGTTCTGGAAGATGATAACAGGAAACATGGCTCTGCTACTGGTAAGAAAAAGGGAAAGGAGAAGGAAGTGGAATATTGGTAGCTGGTGCAAGCCCAACTCTGGCAAATGCAGAAGGTTTAAATACCTGGGTTTGCTATTGACTGTCAGTATTCTGTGTCTAACGTCGAGGCAAGTGGCACCTTTGCCCTACAGGTTAGACTTAAGTGTTTCCCTGCTGGATTCTAATCCACCTGACATGGGATCCTGGGTGCTGCTTCCCTCTTAGAATCATAGAACAGAATCATGGAGTGGTTTGGGTTGGAAGGGGCATTAAAGCTCATCCAGTCTCACCCCCTGCCATGGGCAGGGACACCTTCCACTAGCCCAGGTTGCTCCAAGCCCCGTCCAACCCGGCCTGGGACACTTGCAGGGATGGGGCAGCCACAGCTTCTCTGAACAACCTCTTCCCTCACCCTGGGGCTGTTTGCTCTCTTGGTGACCCTCTGGTGTCCATTTCCAGGTTCAGGCCACCGTGGTTGGCTTCCTGGCCTCCATCGCAGCCGTGGTGTTCGGATGGATCCCAGACGGGCACTTCAGCCTGTACCACGCTGTCCTGCTTTGTGCCAGCAGTGTGGCCACTGCCTTCGTTGCTTCCCTTTTTCTGGGTGAGAGACAGATGCTGAGCGCCCTCTGTGCACACCTCTGCCTAAAATGCTCGGCTCCCTTTGGCCTCATCCTGCTCTTTTCCTCCTCTAGGAATGATTATGATTGGGGTCATCATCGGATCCAGGAAGATGGGGATCAACCCTGATAATGTGGCCACACCGATTGCTGCCAGCCTGGGGGATCTCGTCACCCTGGCTCTGCTGTCAGGAATCAGCTGTGGCTTGTACAAGGACCTGGGTGAGGAGCAACAAAAGGCCTTTGCCTGGTCCTTCCCTGTGCTGCTGCATCTCCCACTCACCTCACCCTCTTCCTTTGCCCTTTCTGTCCTTGGGCTATGTAGGATTCCTGGTCTGGAGCTCCCTCAGTTAGTGAGACTTTTAGACTGATAAGGGGAGGAAATGGACTTTCTCAGGGCCTTGTAGCTGCAGGCACTCTTGGCAGGGACCTGCACACTTCCCTCTGGATGGGTGAAGTGGTCAGGAAGGTCTGGATTTCATCTGCTGTGCAGTCAGCACCAGCTGGGGATCCTCAGTGCAAGGCTGCAGCTGCAGCCTCTCCACTTCCTCCTCCTTCCCGGGGCCGGGATACAGGGATGTGACTCAGCCAGGTTCATCCAGAGGTGAAGCAACACTGGGAGATCCTGCGCAGGAGCGGGACGTGGGAATGAGCAGTTGAAATGGAAGAGATCTCACTGGGATCTGTTGATAAACAGACCCAAGTGTTGTACTCACAGCCCCGTGATTTTGTACTGACACCCCTATGAGTAAAACTCCCACCCTTGTGAGGACACCAGGAGGAAGAAGGACCACGTCCTGCAGAGCTGAGGCTGGACTGGCCCAGTTCCCCTGCCCTTCCTGGCATTCCCACCTGCAGCAGTCTGTGGCCAGGCTCGCTGAGCTCTGCTGAAGCAGCACCTGCCTCGCTGCAGTGGGATGTGTCCTTGATACCTCTATTCCCCCCAGAGAGCAAGTTCTACGTGAATCCCCTGGTGTGCTCCTTGTTCTTGGCCCTGCTGCCCATCTGGGTGTTCGTGGCCAGGAAGGATTCTGCGACCTGGGAGGTGCTTTGTTCCAGCTGGGAGCCCGTCGTCATCGCCATGGCCATCAGCAGGTGGGAGGCTTCCTGTCCCCCCCACACACACCCAGGGGAACATTCCAGCACTGACCTCTCCCATCTTCCCCCTGCAGCGTTGGGGGGTTGATTTTGGACAGGACGGTGTCGGATCCGAACTTTGCCGGCATGGCTGTTTTCACTCCAGTGATCAATGGTGAGTCCTTCCCACCCTGGCTGGGGTTGCAGCTCTTGGAGGCTCCTGGCAAACAGTGGGATTGTCCCCTGGGCCTTATTTCAAGCAGGTTAAGGACAATGAATCTCTCTTGGATGCCAGGGAGGCACCATGCTTTGACTCAAGCTTTACAGCACCGTGGCTCCCCCCAGTGCCAGCCTTTCACTGAAGGGTGACTGCCCTGGGAGGCTGTTCTTCCTAACAGACACCTTTCCAGGGCCCTCTTCACTTCCTCATTCCTCCTGTCTGGTGGGACACCCCCATCTTCCAAAATATTTGCCTTGTGGCACCTGGCAACGTGGAGATTTGTATTTGCACCTGGGAGTCAGGAAATCCAATTGCTTCTGCTATAAAGCTTTGACCTCCTTTCTGCCTAATGAACCAGGGAAACTCCTTTTTTTTAATTACTTTTTGCAAGAAATGGGGTTAATTCTGAGCCAGTGCCTCTTGGGCCAGTGGGTTTCACAGTTTCATTCCGCCTCATGTGAAAAATAATAGTTTTAAACTTCCTGTGTGTGTTTTGGTGTCTGACTCATCATTTTTGTTTCACATATTTCTTCCAAGCCAAGCTGCAGTAATAGAATGGCATCTCTTTTACTGAGGGGCCTGAAGGGAAGCTGCAGAACAGTGTGCTTTGTCTGAGCTCCTTACATCCTGCAAAGGGGGAATTTGGGTCAAAAATAGACTGTCCTACATTATCCCAGCACCTGGCAATTCTAGATCTGCTGGTTGTTGAAAACAGCTCTTCAAAGTGTTTGAAACATCACCTTCCTCTCTCTCCTGACCTGCAGGTGTGGGTGGCAACCTGGTGGCAGTGCAGGCCAGCCGCATCTCCACCTACCTGCACATGAGTGGGATGCCTGGAGAGAGTTCCAAAACAGCCCCTTGGAAGTGCCCCAGCCCTTGCAGCACTTTCTGCAGCTCAGGTATCTGTGTCAGCCCTTGAAATACGTTGACTTGTGGCAGCAGCAGCGGCTGCAGTTGCTGGCTGGGCTCCCTGAGGCAGTGGCTGGAGCTCTGTCACAGGAAAGGGTGGCCCAAGCCTGTTGGGAGGCAGCTGTGGGTGAGAGCTGCTGTGCTGGAATTTCAAGCCTGATGTCCCTCTCTGTCCCCCTGCAGACGTGAACTCCCGCTCTGCCCGGGTGCTCTTCCTCCTGGTGGTGCCTGGGCACCTGGTTTTCCTCTACACCATCAGCTCCATGCAGGGGGGCCACACCACGCTCACCCTGATCTTCGTGGTGTTCTACATGACAGCTGCACTGCTCCAGGTGAGTGCAGCCCCTCGGGGGGCTGAGCCCCCAGGCTGGCCCAGGGGACACTGCCACCTCACCTGCAGTGGCACCCGCTCCGTCACTCGAGTTGTAGGACACAGCACTCAGGAAGGGAGTTCTGACCCCTGGCCATTCCTTGGGATGTGGCTGTGCCTCTGTGAGCCGGACTGGCAGAGCTGACCTCTGGGATCGCAGGGCTCAGGATTTGGGGCTGACGCGTGGCTCTTCCCTTCCTGCCCCCCCAGGTTCTTATTCTGCTCTACATCGCTGACTGGATGGTGCACTGGATGTGGAACAGGGACCTCGACCCAGACAACTTCTCCATCCCATACCTGACAGCGCTGGGGGACCTCATTGGGACAGGGCTGCTCGCTGTCAGCTTTCACATCCTCTGGCTCATCGGGGACCGGGACTCCGATGTGGGGGATTAGCTCTCCCTGCTCCCCCCTTCCCACACTTCTCCTCCTCCTTTCATTCTTGTCGCTTCTTTTCCTCCCCCTTTACTCTTCTTTGCTTCCTCCCCACACCCTGTCTCTCTTGAGACTTCACCTTTAGTACTGGATTCTCATTATTTTCAATGGGAATTTTATGGGGTTTATATTCCAAGCCCAGTTTGTACAGAAAAATCTCTCTAGTTTTAGGAAAGACAAAAAAAGACAAAAACAAAAGTGTAACGAGACAATCACCAAGTGCAATTTCGTAGGAGCTGTGTCTGAACCAAGGTTACAGTGAAGTTCCTGATCAGTCAGATCGTGCAAGGAGCCCACCCTGCCCCACTCACTCGAGGTCAAGGGCTGCTTTTTCGCTTCATAAGCGTTTTAAATCCTGGAGCTCAAGTTCAGGTTTATTTGACTGAACTGGCACCTTCTAGCAAAGTACAACCTCACAGAGGAGGGCATGGGACATCTCCTGCCTTCTGTGCCCTGACACCCTCCTGCCTTGTGTTGGCTCTGAAGCTCCAGGGGGTTTCTGGGAGAGGGATGAGTGAGGAAGGGTCCTGTGTGCCCACAGGGAAGTGAGTGATCTTGGGATTGAGGACTGCAGAGCCCCCAAGCCTGGCTGTGAGCAGGCTGGTCTCTGCTGGCAGATTTAGTCTCCCTTTTGCCAACCATCCAGCAGCACCTCAGACTGCTCGTTCTGCCTCTTGTGAGCTGAGTTCAGCTGCTCTGTGCTTCGTCCTAAGGGGTTGTGAGCTCTCCCCATCCATCATCCCCCTGTCACCTGCCAGTGCTCCACTGGAGGATCTGCTGGAGCCCTCGTGGATGCTCTGTACAGCCTCCTTTGTGCTGCTGTGGGCACAGCACCGTTTTCAGGGCAGTCTGCTCAGTGCTGTTGACTTTCAGGAAGGGGTGGATAGTAAAATAGCTCCTATTTTGTGTGTTCAGATTTTCTTTCACTTGCTGAGTGCAGCTGGGAAGAAGCCACCCAGTGCCTCTCTCAGCTGAGCCTGAGGTGTTTCAAGCTGGTCAGCATTAGTCTTTTGGTGCCTGTTAAGGAAGGACATCCATGTTCAGCCACAGGATTCCTCTCCCTGCACAGGCACCAGCTGGAAAACAGGTCAGCAGGCACAGCTGGATTTCTGGAGCCCTGGCTCTTGGTGCAGCTCTGACGGACGTGGCTGGAGCACAGGGTGTAAAATCTGGGACTGGGGTGACAGCCCAACTTGGAAGTGCTGGCTGAGCACTGGGAGTGCAGGCTTTGCTTCTCTGATTCTTCCTCTCATGCTTTCTGTGCTGCTCAGCTCAGTGATGGCTGAAATTCCTTCCCTTCCCCTGTTTAGTCCGTGTAGGAAGGGCTCTCACACAGCCTGCAGTGACATAGTGAGAGGAAAACCTGGCCATCTGTGTGACTGAGGTGCTTGAAATGACCCTCCTTTCAGCCTTCAACCCTCTTTAGTGCTCCCATTTGGATCAGAATCAGTTCTGGAGGCTGAGGCAGTCCCCGTGAGCAGCTCTGACTGACTCGCACACTCACAGGCCCAGGGACAAACTAAAGATGGAGCCTCTGTGCCCCTCTTTTATAGGGTTTGGCTGCTGTGGCCACGCCCCCTGGGCGGGACAGCTGGTTCACTGACCACTCAGTGCTCTCCTAAGCCTGAGTGACGGTTGCCGTGGCCAATCAGATGCCCGGGCTGTGAGGTGTGGGCGGGCTCCCAGTCAGGCCTGATTTGATTGACAGCCAGGCCGCATGGCACTGCCCTGAGGGCGCCAGGCGCCATGATGGGCACAGAGCAGAACCCAAAATTTGGGCGTGGATTTGGGGCTGTCTGCTTTGCCTCCTGCTTTAAACCCGTTCCTCCCACCACAGCACGACTATCCTTAGCTGGTATCACTTCCTCCTTTTGCCTAACTTCCAGATTTCTCACACAAACCAGCGCTCGTCTCCTCCCTTTGGCTCTCTGGGAGGCAGCCCCATTGTGGTGCTGGCAGCGCTGATCTTCACCTGAGGTAACTGCAGGTGGGGACATCTGTTTGTTACTCTGGGCAATGCCGAGCTCTGCAAAGCGCTGCCTAAGTGGAGATGGCTTTGCTCTTTAGGCAGGGAGCAATTCCTTGGGGACAGTTCCTGCTTCTCCCAGAGGCCAGAGCCAATGCACCTGGGGGAAAAGGTCAAGACCAAAGTCAGTCTGTGCCGTGTCCCGTGTGGGAGCAGCTCTGATCCTCCTCTGTCCCCCCTGGTGACTTCTCACACATCTCATCTGGCCAAAGCTGTGCCCAAAATAACCCCCAAAAAACCCAACCACAAACCAAACCCCAACTGTGCTGCTGTGCTGGGCTCTCAGCCTGGAGAATTCTGGAACGTTCTCTGCCGCCCACCCGATTTCTCCGCCTGATGTTGAGGAATAGATACGAGACATTAACACTTCAGCTTTTATGTGTACATAGAGAAGCTCTCCTGGTCTTTTAGGTGTCACATCACTCTTCAGTTCCCCAGGAGAAGAGGAACAATCTGCCACTCGTGGTCTCCCATGCAGAGACCCCGAGGGGGTGGGAGCTGCTGGGCTGGGGGTCCCAATGTTACATATGGTCTAAAGATGTGTTTGGGGCAGGGAAGAATCTAATTTAAAACTGAGGAATACTGATGGAAAAACCTCTTCCCACTGGTTGCACTCAAATGCATGCCTACTCTACAGCTGCCTGCAGATGAAAAATCCTGGTCTATTCTTTTATTAAAGGAAAAAAAAAAAGACTGTCTTAATTATTTATAGTTCCTATAACTGACAGATGTCAACTTAACTGATAAATTATATTTGGTTAAATAAAGATGACATTTATTTATGTGGACTGTGGTGTGTTTCCTCCTTATGCCTCTGCTTGGTTCTCACATTTTGCAGCTTATTTTAGCTCAGACTGAAGCTCTTTTGACACGCAGTGGCAGGAGAGTTACAAAATCAAATAAATTGCTGGGTATGAAGCAAAGTGGGATTAGTGTTAAGTGCCAGATTACCTCCACCTGGCCTTGGGGGGGGCTCCCAGCAGGAACCTGGGTGTTTGTTCTGGGTACAGAGCCCAGCCCTGGCTCCCTGAGCGCTGCTTTCACTGCTGTCTGTGCCTGTTGATTAAGGTTTGTGGGACAAAAAGGTTCTGCAGCTTTTGGGGCACGCTCAGCCCCTGGATCTGCAGGAATCGCTGGCTGTGGAAGGACTCCCATGCTCCCCAGCTGCTTGGGCACTGATTCCCTGCAGGGCTGTGCCTCCAGCTCGCCCAAACAAGAGGATCTTGGTGCAGGATCCCAAAACAAAGCCCTGGCAGTGCCAGAGGTGGGGGAGCAGCCACCCAGGCCCTGCTGGCTCACATCCCACACGCTGAATATCAGCCTTATCCTGCTCTCCTGGGGAGGCAGAGGGTGTGTTGGCCTTTTCTAAGCTGGGGGAAGGAGCCCGTCTTGCAGAGAGAAACACTGGGGGTTGAAGACCCTGAAGGAAACAAAAATATATTCATATGTGTGCGTTTTGTGGAGTCTTTTTGTTGATCTGTGGGTTGCAAAGGGGCTGGGGGTGCAGAGGGCAGGGGCTGGGGATACAAGGGGTGCCCAGAGCAGGGCTCGGAATGCAGAGGGCTGGATCAGGGGATGCAGGGGATACAGAGGCTGGATCTGGGAATGCAGAGGGCTGGATCTGGGGGTGCAGGGGATGGATGGAGCTGGACCCGGGGGTGCAGGGGATGCAGAGGGCTGGATCAGGGGGTGCAGGGGATGCAGAGGGCTGGATCTGGGGGTGCAGGGGATGGATGGAGCTGGACCCGGGGTGCATGGGATGCAGAGGGCTGGACCCGGGGGTGCAGGGGGCCGGGTCCGGGGGTGCCCCGGGCGGGCAGGGCGAGCGAACTACAGGTCCCGGCAGCCCCGCCGCGGTTCCGCCGCTGCCCCACCTGACCCTCTCACATGACCGGCGGGGCCGGGGCCGGGGCCGGGGCCGGGATGGGGCAGCGCGATCGCATGTTCAAGGTGCTGGTGGTGGGGGACGCCACGGTGGGCAAGACATCGCTGGTGCAGCGCTACGCGAACGACAGCTTCAACCGGCACTACAAATCCACCGTGGGAGGTGAGCGGGGGGACCCTGCCCTTCCCGGGGGCTTCCCGGTGCTCTCCCTGGGGTCCCCGCATCCTCCCCGGGGTCCCGGTGCCTTCCCCCGGGACCGGCACCGGCCTCTCCACCGGGTCTGTCCCCGCTCCGCATCCCGAGCCCTCCTGGCTCCGTCCCGGAGCGCCCCGGGTTTCCCCACCCAGGCTCGGCCGAGCCCCCCGGGACCGCCGCCCCCCGCCCGTGGGATGCTCGTCCTGCTCCCCCCCGCAGCCGTGGGAGCGGGAATTTGGGAGAGGAACGAGCTCCCATCGGGGGTTTGTTGAGCATCTCCCGCAGCAGCTCCCAGAGCCTCTTCCCGGAGCCCCCGCGGGGGTTTCTGCCCCATCCTTCTCCCCCCTGCCTGGGAATAACCAACCCCCAGGAGCTGCACCCTGGACAGGCTGAGGTCACAGGCTCAGCTCTTCCCAGCAAAACCAGCAGCATCAATTAATGGTCTGGGATGGATTTAGCAGCCTGGAACCACCACTGGGGTGTCGGTGGTGCTTGGGAAGGTCGTGGGGCAGCGACAGGTCTGGGAATGGGGCTGAGTGGGGTTGTGGGTTCTTTGTTCAACACCGGTGTAAATGAATAAGCTGGAAGGAGCAGGAGCTGACAAGGCTTTTCCTTGGAAATCTCCCCAAGGGCCCAAAATAGTGGGGGCCAAGCAGTGCTGTTCAAGTCTTCTTATTCAGGAATTGAGGAGGGGATGGATTAAAAGTGGAAAACACTGGAGAGCCACATCCCAGTGGGCAGAGCGCCGGGCTGTGCCCACAGTCTCTCCCAGCAGGAAGAGCTGCAGACTTTTTTCTTCTTTTTTTTGTGTGGGTTTTTTTTTTGTTTCCCCTTAGTTCCTGGTTTTGGTAAGTCCCACCCAGCTTTTTCCCTGCAGTGAAAACCTGACCCATCAGAATCTGAGGAACACAGGGTTTCCCCTTTTGACTCACTGCATCGCTTAAATCAAATCATGGAATGATGGAAGGCACCTTAAAGCTCGTCCACCAGCCCAGCTTGCTCCAATCCCCATCCAACCTGGAGCTGTGCATGGGCTGGTTACCAACCCACTGGTTCAGGATTCTGGAAGGCCCCACGATTTGCCCTGTGCTGGGAGGTGGGGAAGGGCTGTGGAGGAATGAGCTCTGGGGTGCAGAACACCCCTGATGAGGTTTCCTTTCTCTTTTTGGGATTCTCTAGTGGATTTTGCCCTGAAGGTGGTTCAGTGGTCGGAGTTGGAGACAGTGCGGCTGCAGCTCTGGGACATCGCAGGTGAGTCCACAGGGACCAGCAAACAGGAGCAGAATTTAAAGTTCTCAATGGCTTGGTCCTTTTCCCCTTTCCTTTTCCTCTTCCTTTCCCCCTTCCTCTTTCTCTTCCTTTTTTTTTTCCTTTTCCTTCTGCTCCCAAAATAAATCCCAGGAGCCTGTGGATTCCAGGGGTGTGACTGCTCTGGTTTGCAGGGCTGGCTCTAGCCTGCCATAGCAATTTAAATATTTAATTAAAGGCCCATTTGCAAGGAGCTCAGCAGCACAGATGGTAATTCCTGCTGAGCATTTCCTTTTGGTTTCCAAGCTGGAGCAGAGGGAATGGGGGAACAGGCTCATCTGTAGCTGGATATGTGACTTCTCAGCTCCACATCTTGTGCTAAAACCTGGATTTCTGGCGTGAACAGCCAGGAATCCTGAGCCTTGCATGGAGCAGCTTCATGGACCTCACACTGCTGTGGCTGCCAGGATTGGGATCTGGCTGCTCCATGAGCTGTGGGAGCAAGGCCAGTGGATCCCTTGGGAGCAGGCATGGCAAGAGGAGACTGTTGGGTGAGCAGGTCGGGAGCAGGACACACTCCAAGGGACAGTGTTGTGTGTGCTGAGGTGGAGGGAGGAGCCCCTGCTCCCCGGAGAGGTGCAGGAAAACGTGGTTCCCAAATTCCCTGGCACCAGGACAGGGCAGCAGCGTCTCTAAAATGGCACCTCTGGATCCGGAGAGATGAGAAAAACAGGGCTGTGGTTTCCTCCCGATTCGCTGCTCGGCTGCCTGTGTTTGGAATCCTTAAAAAGGCAACAGGAAGGAGAAGTTGGCAGCAGGAGGATTGCAGCAAGAAACTGGTTTCAGTTTTGGCACCAAAAAAAAAAAAGGCTTTTGAGATGTGGAAAGCAGGGGGGCCAGGCTGGCACTGTGCCCTTGTTGTGCCCCAAGAGAAGGAGATGCCCGAGCTGACAGTCCCTGGGCACTCAGAGGTGTGTGGGGACACAGGGCTGGCTTGAGGGACACCAGGAATAATGCAAATATTGTGGTTGCTCCATGCCTGGAAGTGTCCAAGGCCAGGCTGGGCTTGGAGCAACCTGGAAGGTGTCCCTGCCCATGGCAGGGATTGGGATGAGATGAGCTTCAAGGTCCCTTCCCACCCAAACCAGTCTGGGATTCCATGACTGTATGATCTGAGTGCTGGCATTCAGAGCTGCCCAGTTTGCTCCAGCTCCATCAAACTGGATCAAACTGGAGTTGCCTGTATTTCCTCATTATTTGAGTGGGGATCACGAGTGTCAGCTGAGAAAAGGATGGACCACAATAAACACATCATCCCAAAAGAGTAACCCCAGGGGGGGTAATTTTTTTTCCCTTTGATCCCGAAGGACAGGAACGTTTCACGTCCATGACCCGCCTGTACTACAGGGAGGCCTCAGCCTGTGTCATCATGTTTGATGTCACCAACATCAGCACATTCAGCAACAGCCAGAAGTGGAAGCAGGATTTGGACAGCAAGCTCCTGCTGCCAGATGGGAATCCCGTGCCTTGCCTGCTGCTGGCCAACAAGGTGAGGAGCTCTGGGTGTGCTCTGGGCCTGTTTGGGTGGGTCTGTGTGGTTCTGTGGGGTGGTTTTGTGTGGTTTTGTTTGTCTCTGTGTGTGTGTTGAAGGACTGGTAGGACTCCATGGGTGGATGCACTGAGTTGTTCCCTTGGACTCCTTGGGCTTTTCCAGCCTCACTGATTCTGGGATTCTGTTCTGAGGTGACAGTTTTGCCTGTTGTAGGGAAATCTGTGTGCCTGACCCACGAGCTGTTACGGGTCAGGATCCCTCTGCCTCCTGGTACATCCTGTTGTCACCACTGTGGCCTCAGTGCCACCACACCTGGAACTCCTTCCCTGGCTGCTGAGAGGCAGATTTGGGATGAGGGACAGTGTTTGAAGCTCCATTCCATGCGTGCTTGACTGAGGTGTGTCAGTAACCCAGATGAGATAAATAAATTGCTGCTTGCAACATCCCATTAGAAACCTTGCCCCGAGAGCTCTCTCAGCCTGGGGATCTGGGAGCTGTGGAGGGCTGAGCTGCCTGCACATAGGCACTAAATGGCCCTCCCAGCTTAAAAATTAGGAAGAAATTCTTCCCTGTGAGGGTGGGCAGGCCCTGGCACAGGTTGCCCAGAGAAGCTGTGGCTGCCCCAGCCCTGGAAGTGTCCAAGGCCAGGTTGGATAAACTTGGAGCAACCTGGGCTGGTGGAAGGTGTCCCTGCCCATGGGCAGGGGGTAGAATGACATGATGTTTAAGTTCCCTGCCAAGTGAAACCATTGCATGATTCTGTGATTCTGAAATGCCTGATTCCTGTTTTCCAGTGTGACCTTTCCCCCTGGGCAGTGACAAGAGAAGAAGTGGATCGGTTCAGCAAGGAAAACGGCTTTTCAGGATGGGTGGAGACGTCTGTCAAGGAAAACAAGAATATCAATGAGGCCATGAGGTAGGAACAGTGCCTGGTGATGCATCCAAGAGTTAATTCCCTGCACAGAGAGGCTGTGATCTCCCCATCCCTGGAACTGATCATCCAGTCCTAACTGTCAAAACATCACCACCACCACCACATTCACCACTAAACCACATCCCCAGGTGCCACATCCATACATTTTTTGAGCACTTCCAGGGATGGTGACTCCACCACTGCCCTGAGCAGCCCCTTCCAGGGCTTTACAACCCTTTCCATGAGGAGTTTTTTCCTTGTATCTGATCTAAACCTGCTCTGGGTATTCACAGCTCACGTTGAGCTTGGGCAGGTGGTACCCAGGGGGTCTGTTGATGTGTCCCAGTCCTTAACTGGACCCGAGGTGAGGTGGTTGCTGTAGGTGTTGTGAGTTATCCAGTCCCTGCAGAGTCTCCTGATGCTGCCAGGTATTCTTAGGAATCCTCTTTGCAGTGCTATGAAGTCCCTTCACCTGATTTTTCAATCATTTTGTAGAGTTTTGTGTCCTTCTGGGCCGAATTGCTGTTTCTTTTCTGCACTGCTGAAAAGCTGGGTGGCCCCTTCCATAATGCTGCTGGTTAAAAAAAACCAACCAAACAAACCCCCAAACCAAACTCCCAAATGTTTGTCTTGCAGAGTGCTGATTGAAAAGATGATGTCCTCATCCACGGGTGATGGAAGTTCCTCCACTGCTGGGAGTGGGGATTATATTAACTTTAAAGAGACCTCCCCACCAGGCTGGGCGTGTTGTTAAGAGCCCCTGACACACCAACTCCTCGGGTCTGGCAGTGATGGTCCTTTTATTATCATCATCAGATCTCCCTGAACTGGCTCTCACTGGTTTTGGGGTGGTTTTTTCACAAGATCATGGACTGTTTCCTGTTTAGTGAATATTCTTTCTCAGTAGAGCATTTGCTACAGTGACTTGAGTGAGGAGTGGAAAGGAGAGGAGTGGGAGGATTCCTCTTTTTTCCCAGTGTGGCTGGAGCTCTGCTGCTCTGATGAAGCACAGGCTGTGTCCAAGCACAGGGCTTGGATTATATTTGGGTTTTTTTTAAATTTTTGAGCACTTCACCTTCTGCCAGGTGCTGGCCTGTGCCAGGCTGCTGAAGGTGTATTTTTAATACTGTTTGCACCTTTACCCCCCACCTCCTGCACCCACCACACCCCAGAGGCACCAGCCCAGGGCCTTGCAGTGACCTTGGTCCACCCCCAGAGTCCAGGGGGTCTCCCTGTGGATTCCTGCTCCGTGCTCTGGAATGACAAGAGTCTCTCCTGGACAGACCCAACACATCCCATCATCACCACTGAGGGTGTGAGGGGAGTGTGGATCGACGTGGTGCCCGTGGAACCAGAGCTGGGCAGGTTCCAGGGGGAATTTGGGCAGTGGAGCAGCACAGCCCCCCTCTGGCCTGAGTTCTGACCGTGCTGTTCAACAGCAGAGACCTCGAGCTGAGGTCAGGAATTGCCTTCTGTCCTCCCTGCTCTCTCCCCCTCTGGCACCATCCCATTATCCTGCTGTGCTGCCCCTTTATTGGGGGGAGCTGGATGAGGGGGGGGCTGTAAACCCCTTTGTGTGCCAGAACAAGGGTCCTTTTTCACTTTTTAGCACGCCCTGGATCCCACCACCCCTTTGGAACAGCCTTGCAAGTGCTGATGAATTGCCTTCCCACCATTATCCTGCAGCCAGGAGGGAATTTGGTGGCAGGGCTGGTGCAGGAAACAGCTCCCTGAAAGCCCCCCCACTGCTTTTAGAGAGGGGAAAGAGGAGGAGAAGACTTTGTGGGACAAAAAGGAAGTGAAGAAACCACTCCCCGCTTCTCTCTGGTGCCTCCCTCTTCCCCCCAGGTACTGCCTGTGAGGAAAAACTGGTGCCCAAAAATTGGTACAAGATCTCTATCTCAGGAGAGCGAGCAGGAAACTCAGACTGCAGGGCTGGAGTCAGAATGGTGTGTGGATTTGATATGTTTTTGATCTGCCATGGCTCTGTGATGGCAGTGTGTGATGGTACAGAATTGTCCTGCCCATGTTTTAAGGTCTGCATTTCAGCAAATGGCCTTCAGTGACGTTTTTCCCCTTGAAAACAGGACTATAAATTGCTCTGTCCTGATTCCTGGTGAATTAGGACTGGTTTTCTTTGGCAAATTATTCCTCCTGCCTGTCTTTTCTTACTCTGTATAATCTATGGAGGGAGAAGGTGGTAGAAAAGGAACCAATTGCCTTCACTAAGCATAAAAAAATCCAAGTTTTCCTTCCTTGAAGCTGAAAATAATTTATAAGTGGACAGTAAGTGTTAAGAAATTTAGAACCAGTGCTCCAATGTTTTAATTAAAAGCTGAAATACCTGGGCTAGGATTGTGTCATGGAAATATTGCCAAATTTGGGGTCAGGGGTGCTTAAATACCCCCTTTCTGTGCTGCTGTTTTCACTGTAGAAACATGGAGAACTGGTTAGCAACAAAATGGAAGTGCCTCGCTGAATTTTACTTCACTGTGTTAAAAAAAAAGTAAAAAAAGGAAAGGAAGTGGGTTTTAATCCTACAAATATTTCTAGTTCTTTGTGGAACATGAGGAGACGTGCCTTGAGTTTTTAAAGGATCTGTCACGAAACTGTTGAGATTCAGGTGTTATTTATTGAGTTTTGTACGTGCACCTTAAAGTGTTTTGGCAAAGAGACCAAGTGTGAGAGCCTGAAAGGTGGAGAAACCCCTGCCCAGGACCCACCCACTGCTCAGTTCAGCTCGTGGAAACTGGAAATTCCCAGTTCCTGTTCCGTCCAGTTACAGAATCCCAGAATGGTTGGGGTTGGAAGGGACCTTAAAGCTCATACCATGCCCTGCCATGGGCAGGGACACTTTCCTCTAGCCCAGGTTGCTCCGAGTTTATCCAACCTGGCCTTGGACAATTCCAGGGATGGGGCAGCCACAGCTTCTCTGGGCAACCTGTGCCACCCTCCCAAGGAATTCCTGGGCAGAAAAGCCTCTTTACACCTTTCATGTGTCACTTTAATAACCTCCCAGTGCCTCTTTGGTGCCTGCACCTCCCAGCCTGCACCTTTTCTTTCAGAAGTGCCTCAAGGAAAAAGCCAAAGGAAGGTTTTTTGGTGGTGGGTTTTTTTGTGGTTTTTTTTCTATTCTACATCATTTCTGTTCTGCCCAGTGGTTTCCAGTGCCGGTGGGAGCCTTGGTGGGGTTTATTTTCCACACTCACTGTTGGTTAACATCTGCCACAGGAGACAGATGTTAAAAAGGAAACCCCCCAAGAGCTGCACAGCAGAAAGAGCCGTTGCTGGAGCTCGTGTGAAACCCCAACCAGACAGGAAAACGATTTCCCTGTGCAGATGTGTGTGTTTTCAGAGACCTCTCTGGGGCACAAGGGGCTTAAAAAAAAACAGGCAAAACAAAGCCAGCAACCCACCCCTTGATTTAATTCTGTAAAACAGCTTCAAAAGCCCCATCAAAGATGCTCTTTCTGGGCTGGGCAGCGTGGAAAGGACGTGGGCAATGGGCGGTGCCAGCTGGAATAATTCTTGTTTTTAAAGCAACTGAAAGGGAAAAAAAAACCCAAGAAATGTTTTAAACGAAGTTAAGTCTTGTTCATGCAGGTGGATAAAAGCCTGAACCTTTCAGGTACGAATCAGAAAAGTCTTGTCTTTGTTCTGCTTCCCTCGTGCCTTTCGCCAGGAATGAGCTGGTGGGGAAATGAAGGTGTTTATTCTCCCTGCTTTGACTTTGTACCCTCTGTGCCCGTTTCCCTCCCATCCACACGTTGTTCCTCCTTCCTGTAACTTGAATTTGTGGTCCTGGGACTCAAAACCCTGTGAAGTTGAAAGGGGTATTTTCTGTGCTGGTGGCTGCGCTCTGTGGGTCCACCCAGCTGGAGGTTTTCACTGCAATAGGATTGGAAAGCAGATTATAGGACATAAATAAGTCAACAATCTCAAAACTTAGCTTTTTTTTTTATTTTAATTGCTTGCTGTTACACAGGAATTTTTTAGAGACAGGGTCCTGAGGACTGTAAAACTTCAGTATTATCGTGTTTATGTAAAGAGGAAAAACTGCTGGGAGGTTTAATCCACATCAGTCAGTAACTAATGCAGCATTGCAACAGTTTGCAATAAAAAAATTGACATGACTTGGTTAGTGGTTGTTGTTTTCCTGTCTCAAGAAACGGGTTCACAAGTTGAAACTAAAAATAACAATAACAGGAATGTATAAAACACACACTGTGAACTGCAGCAAAACAAATGAGATCCTTTCCACTGAAACACCCTCAATTATTGGAGTTTTATTGAGCTACGGGCAGGACATAAACATGCAAAACTGGTGCATCTGTGAGTCAGCCAGAGTGGCTTTTAATCCAATATCTCCAGCTCAAAGGAGAGAGCAAAGAATTCCTTGATGTGGTTACTGCACCTTCCCCCTCAGGGCCCGGTAATTCAGTATATTTTGGGGATGGATGTGCAGGCAGTTGCTCCTCTTTTTCTCCCTGATCAGCTCGATTTTCATGGGTATTGACTGGCACAAAGGACAGGGCACAGCTGGATGGGGCAGAAAAATGGCAATAATTCTAAAGGGGACAAATGAAGCTCAAGCAGGGCATTAAATAAACTCAAATTATCCTTTAATTATAATTACTGCTATAAAGCTGACCATGTTTGTATTGCCAAACCAGTATTTTCAGAGAACCCAACATATAAAAATATCGTCTTAAGTACTATTTTTAATAAAATGGAGGGATGAGTCTCTTTAAAGATCCAAATGCAAAGCAAAAGTGAGTTGTTATTGTAGAAGCTGCCATTTTAATGACTGTGGAATACATTTAATTTTTCCATGGTTAAAGCAGCTCCTTTTCTAAACAGAACCAGTAATTTTGCGGGGTTTGTAGGGAATCTATGGTCTAAAAATCAGATATCTTCAGTGGGCTTTGCATGAATTTTCTGTGCTGACGAGCGTGGTGATGAAATCAGGGCTGATGATAAAATCTCCTGCTCAAATTAATTTGTGTTTCTTCCTAATGAAAGCGAATCCCACTGAACCCGGGGCTGATCAGTGCGATAAAACAACCCAAGTGTCGAAAAGGCTGTAGATTATTACAAATTTAATCAAATTACATGATCTACCCCCGCTTTGGGGGGGGTCACCCCGGAGCACAGGAGGTGCTGTTTGACCCGAAGGTGCAGGAGCAGGAGGGAATGATGTGGTAAATCCAGTGGAATTCCACTGGGATTTGTGGTGCCAGGGCTGGCTGGCACCGTCCCCCCCCTCGGGGTGTTTGTCCCCTCCTGGCAGGGCTCTCACAGGGGACGGCGATTCCTGCTGAGCATTCCCAGGGTGGGATCCTCTGAAGTCTGGGAAGGATTCCATGACAAAGGGGCTGCGGGGCTGGAATGGCCCCGGGCTGGGATCAGCCTGCCTGCCCTAACCTGGCTGCCTAAGTCGCGATAGGCACGACAGGGACGGAGGAAACGCAGCCCCGGTGTGACAGCCAAACAAACCGGAGCCTTTCCACCCAAACACCCCCAATTACCGGAGTTTTAGTGCGCTATAAACATGCAAAACTGGTGCATCTGTGAGTCAGCCAGAGTGGCTTTTAATCCAATATCTCCAGCTCAAAGGAGAGAGCAAAGAATTCCTTGATGTGGTTACTGCACCTTCCCCCTCAGGGCCCGGTAATTCGGTATATTTTGGGGATGGATGTGCAGGCAGTTGCTCCTCTTTTTCTCCCTGATCAGCTTGATTTTCATGAGTATTGACTGGCACAAAGGACAGGGCACAGCTGGATGGGGCAGAAAAATGGCAATAATTCCAAAGGGGACAAATGAAGCTCAAGCAGGGCATTAAATAAACTCAAATTATCCTTTAATTATAATTACTGCTATAAAGCTGACCATGTTTGTATTGCCAAACCAGTATTTTCAGAGAACACAACATATAAAAATACCTTTTTAAGTGCTTTTTAAAATGAAACGGAAGGATGATATAAAGGTCCAAAGCAAAGCAAAAGTGAGTTGTTATTGTAGAAGCTGCCATTTTAATGACTGTGGAATACATTTAATTTTTCCATGGTTAAAGCAGCTCCTTTTCTAAACAGAATGAGTAATTTTGGCGTTTCTAGGGAATTTGAAGTGTGAAAACCCCCAAAAATCTTCAGTGGGCTTTGCATAAACTGTGCACGTCCTGAACTGCGGGCCAGCACGGGGAAAGTGGCGGTGGTAACATCAGTGCCGACGACGAAATGGACGGCCGGGGGTGATTCCCTGGGGTTTTATCCCGACAAAAATCAACATTGCCGGACGTTTCCCTCCAAAACCGCGCCGGGCCCGCGCGGCGAATCTGCGGGACGGGCCCCGAGGCCCCCGCCGCGCCCCGAAGAAATCAGCGGAGGAAGGCGGGAAAAAAAAAAACAAACAGCGGTGCCCGGGCGGCGCCGGGACCCTGCGGGCGGTGCGGGCGGTGCGGGGTGTGCGGGGCGTGCGGGGTGTGCGGGCCGAGGCCGCGGGTCCCGCCGTGGCGAATCTGCCGCTGCTGCCCCCGCCGCGTGCGGGGCCGCGCGCGCCGCCCTCCCCGCGGGGGCGCGGTGGGCGGGGCCGTGCGCGGCCGTGATGGTTCGAACGGGCCAATGGCGGGCGGGCCCGGCCGCAGGGGCGGCCAACCGGCGCGCGGCGGGGCGGGGCCCGGCGCGCGGGGGCGGGCCGCCCTCCCCTCGCTCGCATCCTCTCGGCGGGGCGAGCGCGACCATTTTGCGGGGGGGAGCGGCGGGGCGGGACCGGCGCGGGCACCGGGGCTGCGGGCCGGGAGCGGGCGGCCACACCGGCACCCGGGAGCGCCGGCGGGGAGCGGCAGCGGGGGCGGCAGCGGCGCCTGGAGAGGGGGAGCGGCGGCAGCAGCAGCAGCAGCAGCGGCGGAGGCGGCTCCGGCGGCGCGGCCTGAGGCGCTGGGCCCAGCGCTCCCGCTCGCTCCGGGCGGCCCCGGCGGCCTCAGCGTCCCCCGTTCCCTCCGCGCCCACCCCCCGGGGGCGGCACGAACCCGCCGGGAAGATGTCCCGGCCCGTCAGGTGAGTCGCGCAGCCGCCGCTCCCGCCCCGGCCGCCGCCGCGGCCCCGCGCAGGCCGCGCTTTTCAGGGCCGTGCCCATTTTTCTCCTCTATTTCCCCTTGTTTGCCCCCCGGTAGCCGCGCGCCTTTACCGCAACAAACGCGGCGTTCCGCGCCGTGCGCCTCGCGCGGGGCTGGGGGCGGGCTGCGGGCTTGGGGGGTGGCCGGCCCTGCGTGCGCTTGTCCCACATTTTTGTAACGTTGTTGGAGGAACGGGGGGGTGGTGGAAAGGGAATTGTCGCCGTGACCCACTTGGCGCGGGGCGGGCGCCGCTCGCCCGCCCATCCCCTGCCCCTGCCCCGCCGCCCGCGGAGGGGGCGCGGGGCCACCCCCAGGGGGGTCCGGGCCACGGGGGCTGTGCTGGGGAACCACGCTGAGGGGAGGAGCCGCCGGGAGGAGGAGGAGGAGGAGGACACACGCCCTGCTCCTCCCGCCCGCCCGCCCGCAGCGCTCCAGGGTCGTTTTCCTGCTGGTGTTCGTGTCCCCCCCTCCGCCACCACCTCTCCCGGAGAGGGGTTGGGTCGCGGAGGAGAGGAAGGAGCTTTTTAGCGGTGCGGTTTGGGAGCTGTGCGGTTTGGGAGCTGTGCGTTCGCAGAGGTAGGTGGGGTGGTTGTGTCCGTGGTGAGGCGGTGCTGGATCTCGGGGAGCTGCTGGTGGTGCGGCGTGGCGGGGTTGAGAACCCGCAGCACCGGGAGTGGGTGCCCGTGGAACGGCTGGGGCTGTGGCAGGGAGGGGTTGGGTGGGTGTCAGGGAAAGGTTCTTCCCCAGAGGGTGGTTGGCACTGAACAGGCTCCCCAGGGCAGTGGGCACAGCCCCAAGGCTGCCAGAGCTCCAGGAGGGTTTGGACAACGCTCTGAGGGACAGGGTGTAATTTTGGGGTGTCTGTGCAGGGTCAGGAGTTGGACTGGATGATCCTTGTGGGTCCCATCCAACTCGGGACATTCTGTATAAATTCTCTGATTCTGTGAACTTGCCTTATAGCTGAAAGTTTACCAAGGGGGCAGGAGTGTCTTCCTTTTCACTCTCCTCTGCAGAGAGAGTGAACTTGGGATTTTAGAGAGTGAATTCGCGATTTAAGTTGTTCTTATAGAAAAGGAAAGAGGTTTCTCAAGTTGCTCTCCTGATGCTTTGAATTTTTTCTTTCTCAAGGTGCTTCAGTAACTGGTTGTGTTTTTATTCCCAGTAAGCTTGGTCTGGGGTGTGGATGTGTGGATAATTTGGATATTCTAAATAATAGATACAAATTAATTGTGGCCATGATACATATATATATATTTATGGGTGATATACTTGATGTTTAAGTGACACCTAAAAAAATAATTAAAATAACCCTCCCCTCTCCAGTCCTGCAGGGCTGTGAAAGGTTTGACAGGCCCAGGTCTGCAGGGAGATAAAGCACCAAAGTCCAGCAGGTTGTTGGGAGGAGAGAGGTAGCAGTCCTCTGTCTGCCTGTATTTAACAGCCCTTCCAGGGGGAAAAGGGAAATACTCAGGGCCTGCTACGTTATATTTATTGCCCTACTAAATATTAACTGGAGAGCTCTGCTAATAGATCTAAATCCATTAATAAATTAATTCTGAAATGGATTTTTTTTTCTGGCCATCTCAGTTTGTGGTTGGTGATATGGCAGCCTGGTGAAAGGCTCTTCATCAGGGTAGGATTTAGTGTTGGAAGAGTTTTCCTCTAGTCAGTGTTCTTTGAATTAATTTATGATGTCTGCTGGTTTCTAGTGAATATATGCCCCTAAAACAGTGAAGTTAATAAAATCCACCATATATATTCCCAGTTTTTACTGCACTTGTCATGGAATGCTACCTTAAAACTGGGTCTGGTTGTTGAAGTCAGTTCCTTAAAATTGTTAAGGAGTAGTAATAAAGTGCTGGTATTTACAGGCTTCGTGTGCCAAGTACTTTCTACACAATTAAATTTCACCTGGATGGATATTTATGGTATTTGCACTATTGTTAGAAAAAGGCAAGAAGTAAAAAATAAAGGAACCTGAAATTACTGAACCTCCTGTGGGTAACTCAGCTGAGAACTGCAAAGAGCAGCTGGGGCTGGCGGTGACATTATATCCTATAATATAAAATATTATAGGGATATATAATAAATTAAATACTTTAAGCCATGTTTTTTATATATCCCATCAATCAATTAATGTGTTTCAAGTCAGAATTTTGACTTTTAATGGAGTTTGTTTCTGGTTTTCCTCACTACTCACTTCCACTTGCTGGAGTTTGGTTCCCTCCCCTGTGCTGTGCACCAGAACACCCCTGTATTAAAATCTACTCAATTATAGTTAGATTCCACTAGAGAACGGGCACAAGGCTGCTTAAACTGTTGCTGCATAAATCATTTCACTGTTTGATGGGGTTTCAAGTCACCTGTGACATGTTTTGGGTCCATAACTGTCACCACCTGCCTCGTGTCAGCTCCTGATGGGGATTGGAACTCCATGGTCATGCAAGGCCCAAATCCAGCACTGCTTTGTGCAGCTTTAAAAGTGACAGCCAGAAGTGTTTCATGCAGGTATTTTCATTTTCTATGTATAAAGAAAAGGCACCAAAAGGTGCTTTTCATGGCAGTATTTATTGATAATGTTGGCCCCAAAGGGGACACCTTTGAGAACCAGAAGGGGAAGCCCCCCTGAGCCAGAGCTGCCCCAGCCCTGAGGGTGAGGGCGAGGCTGTAGCTTTGTTCACATGCTTGGTTTGGTGGTTATATTGGTTAAATAATGTGGTTAAATGATGTCCAGGATCTCAGTAACCATTTAATGTGGTTCACTCCCCTTGCTGTGTGGTGTTAGAGGGGAGGTTGTTGCACCTGCTGGTTGTCATTTGGCCTGGACATTCCCCTTCGGTGCAGGACGAGACTCAAAGCAGTGACTCGATTTTTGAAGGCTCCTTTTAGCATTGCTTTTCAGGAGTATATGTTGTGGGTTTTTTTTTTTTAACTTGGCCTTTATCTGTGGATTTTAATGCCTGCAGAAATACCTGGGGATCTAAGCATTCCTTTTAAAAAAAACCATAATATTTCTCCCTGACTGTAGTGTCTGTTCTGATGTGTTGGCTTGCAAAGACCGAGGCTTTAGGGACCTCAGTAGCTGAAGATGAGGTACTACTGTACAGTTCCTGCTCAGCTTTAGAGGCATTCAGTGATCCTTTGACATGTTGACATTGCTTTTCATAATTTCCAAATGGCTCTTTGGTCAGCATCGAGTAGAGGTTGCAAGAATCACTCTGCATTTCTGAGTTGTATTTAAATTACTTATTGCTTTGCTAAGTGCTTCCACCCCAACATGTTGATGACTTGCTAGATGAGTTGCTGTTTATTCCAAAAGTGTTATTAAAACTTATACTCTTAGACCTCTCTCTGTACCTTTTGCCCCCCAATTCCTTCACACACACACACTTTAAATGTTAAGCTGAATTAGCAAGGAATTGCCTTCAAATAATTTCAGTGCATATTTGAAGCCAGATTGAACAATACCCACCCCAGCTGTCCACTAGCCTGTCTTTTTATGCTCAGTCTAACTGGATTTAACAAAGAGTTTATTTTTATGTCTGGTTGCTTGCCTTAACATCTTTCTGGATTTCGCTCATGGCAAAGAGCCTCTTCATTGACAACACCAGCAATCTCTTTTTCTGGCTCTTGCAGTGAACTTGCAGAGTGTGGATTTATCTCCTTGGAGTAAGAAACGTTGCAGTCCCTCGTTGCAAACTCGTAATTATCAAGTGCTGTTGACAGTTCTAAATAAAACCATCAGTTGATCCAAACGAGCTGAATGGTGAGGATAAAGTGAGGAGAAGGGCAGGAGCAGGTTGGTTGGGGTTTCTGTCCCTCTGAGCTTCTCTGCTTGTGTTGGGAACTGGCAGATTTTTAGCAGTGCAGATATTCCTTCTTTCCTCCACCCTCTCCTTGCCCTGCAGAGTAAGATGATGGCACAAGGAAACAGCCTTCTCTTCTGTTTTCTTCTGAAATAGTGATTTCTGGGGTTTTTTTGATTCAAATACCACAACTCCTGTTCACCAGGTAGGGAAAGCTGAGCAGGGTTCACCTCCCAGCTGAAAACACAGGGGGCAGTGCTTGGAGAAAGGATGTTTTCCCTAGGGACACTGGTTTTGTTACTGTTTTAGCTGACACTGTTGCATTTTCAGTACCTGATTTAACGTGTGTCTGACTGGAGGCAGCAAGATGGAACTGTGCATGACCAACTTGCAAGGTGGCAGTATTACAATTTCCATCCTGTTTGATTAGAGGTGTCCAAAACTGTTGTTTTACAAAGCTGCTGGAACAGAATGTGTGGACATTTTGCCCTTTTTTTTTTTTTTTTTTTTCCATTTATGCCTTTGGAGGAAAAAAATAAAACTGTAATAGTTGGTAGTTATTTAATAAGATGTTTGGTTTGGTGTAACTGCTCACCAGGATAAATATCAGTGTTTTCCCACGTGAGGTGGGTCAGGAGGCAATCTTCAGGAGGACTACCTGTTGGAATAGGAATGTAAATCCCTGGATGATGAACCATGACAAACCTTGCCAATAACTCTGCTCCTGAGCTGGTATTTTACCCTGCTCAGGCTGTGTGAGTGAACAGTTGCTCTGCACCTCGGTGCTGTTGTACTTTGTTCCACTCACACGTGCTCAGAGGCTTGGATGGGATTCAACCTGGAGAAATCCAGTCACTGCTCTTGCCTTCCTTTTATTTGCCTATTTGATTTTCTTTTTAATTTGAGGGATTGGCTTTGTTTTTTGCTTTATAATTGTTTTAAGAGTCTCAGTGCAGGGTTGAAACCCAGTTTTGCTCTTTCCCCTTTCGAAGGCTGGTGCTGTGAGCCACGAGTTGGAGGTGCCTGTACAGGGGGGCAACTTCAGATTGATTGGAGAGGGATCAGCAGCCAGAGCAGTGATGACTTTGGGTGTCTTTCAGCTAAACAGGCTTATCAGCAGTGCCTGCTGTTAATGCCAAGGTGCAGCTCAGCTCTGGGAGCAGGATGGGAAGTTGCCCAGAGGGAGGGGAAGGGTGGATCCCTGTGTGGATGGAGCTGCTCCTGCCTTCCCCCTGCAGATCTCCTCAGGTCTGAGGTGCTGGGGAGGGCACTTCATCAGTGTTTTCCTGACTCCCCGAGCTGTCCAAGTGAGCTCACGGGATGATCCCTGCAAAATCAAAGTTCTCGCTGGCTTTGGGCCAAAAGGATTGTAAAAAAAGCGACTGTGGAGGGGAGGGGTGTTTGAACCTCTGGGACCTTTTCCAGCTGTGCCTCCTCCTCCCATTCCATGTGAACATTTACAGGAAGGGTTTGGAGTCTGAGTTTGGCTGAGACATTGTCAGTGAACTCACATATAATTCATTTATGGGTCTGGCTTGGTTCCCTCAAGTAGCTGCATCACAGGGCACTTATGTCTTGTCAATACAGCAGTTGGGCCTCGATTGACAAGGTGCTGATAAAAAACCCACCAATTCCTTACATTTCATTTTGGTTTTGAGCTTTCAGTAAGTTAGAGAAGCAGATCTAATTTTCTTGAGCAGTGAGGCTTCGGTTTCAGTAATAGCTGCTTGTGTAGGTAACTAATTTTGTGTAGAAGTGACCAGTGCATTTGCACAGCTGATGATCCCTCAGTGCCTGTGCCACTCTCAGCTTGGTTAAAGAGCAGAGGAGGTGCCAGGGAGGTAAAAAAATACAGGTTTGTTCACTACAAACACAGCTGGGGTGAAATGTGGGCCTGGGTTCCTTGTTGTGCCTGGTGACACAGCTCTGGCATCTTCCTGGAGGATCACTGGAATTCCTGGAGAAAACTCCCAGAAGCCCCAGCGAAAACTTAAAAGTGGTTTAGAAACAGGGATCACACGGGAAAACAAACATTCCAGGAGAATTTTTTTGTGGGGTGTATTGAGCTGTGAGAAACAGAAGTACAAAGCAGAGCAGTTGAGAAATGTTTAGTAATGGTAATATTTGTGTGCTTACCAAAAAGCTTTTTCAGACTCTTGAGATTATAATCCAGACTACTACAATTATTTCCTTAGGAAAATTATTACTATTATTTCCTTAGGAAAATGCTGGAATATAATGTGTCTTTAATCCTGCCTTCAGAGGTGTAGGTGGCTGATTATGAGAGTTTCCTTGGGATATTTTTGGGCTACAAATCCAGCACTGGAAGCAAGGATATGGCACTTCCTTGTTTCTTAAAGAAAGCTTTTGTATCTCTATAATTTTTTGATTCCTCATCTCTAATTGTATTCCTAATTTTTTTTCCCTGCTTTTTACCAGGAACAGGAAGGTGGTCGATTACTCCCAGTTTCAGGAATCAGATGATGCTGGTAAATTACTTTTTTTTTTTTTCTTAACAATCTCATATTCTTGGGTAGAGCAGTTCATCATTATTGCCTTGCATATTAACTGTTTGCCTTTAACTCAAATTCTGAGGAGTTCCTGCTCTTCACAGCCCAAACTGTTAATAAGTATTTGAAAATGTAATGATTTTCATATGTTTTGTATTAAACAAACAATGGTGATAGAAATCTTATTATTTAATGCTTGTATTGTTGCAGTGCCTTGAGGCTCTTGGCAGCAACTTCCTTCCCTGGTCTATGTTATGTCCTGGATCTCCCTAATGCCATTTTTTTCTGCAGGAAAATATGTTTTCCATTTATTTTAGTGGACTCTGGTAGGGCCCATAATATCAGGCATTTTGGGGAATGGCATCTAAAAAAAATAATAATCTTTATGTTCTGTGTGAATTGAAGAACGTTTTCTGGAGGCCATATGGAATATGTTTTGAGTTCTTAGAAGACAGGCACAATCCTGCTGTTTTGTTTATCAGATTACACTGGTAATTAATATGAAACAAATATGCTTAGTTCTTAATTGCAGCTCTGTTAAGAAGGTATTGTGTCAGAGCTGTAAAAAGTTGTGCTGTAAACTCCTGTATGATGACATGCTTTTCCCCAGCAGAGGACAGTAAACAGTGCTTGCTGTTAAAAGAGTGGAGAAATATGGATGGATGTTAATCTTTAATAGCTTTATATAATAACTGACTAGGTGTAAAATGAGATTCTGTGTCCTCTGGTGAGGTTTTTTTATGTTTCTTAACACCCCTCTGTCAGACCTGACTGTACACAGCATTTTTATTGTGCTTGTTGGCACCAGAAAAGACCAATCACAAGTTTAAGGCAGGACTTCGCTTCTGTAACATCTCCTTTGAAGCTTTGTGATCTTGTTTGGTTGGTTTTATTTTTTTGTTTTATTTTTTGTTTGTTTGTTTGTTTTGTTTTTTTAAGGGCCTCTTTTTGTTGTGCATGAAATGATCAGGTTTAAGTTAGAGCTGAGGAAGGCAGTTTGCTGGCAAGTAGGAGTTTGATTCAAACCCATTTTGTACTGTCCCGTCCAGATGAAGATTATGGAAGAGATTCAGGGCCCCCATCCAAGAAAATCCGCTCGTCTCCCCGAGAGGCCAAAAATAAGAGGAGATCTGGGAAGAATTCTCAGGAGGACAGGTAAAAGCAGCACTTCAGCTCTTGGGAATGTGCCCCGTGGGTGTGTGGGGAGAGGGACCTTGCAGGAGGAGGGATTGCAGGTGGAATTCAAGTCTGGAGGGTGAACTCTCAGGCTCAGAACTTGCATAACCAGCTTAGACAGTGAGCTGGTTCTCCCTTATCTGAGCAGACACAGAAATCATGTGTGAAGCACTTGTCACTGGTGCTCCATCACTGAAATAGCTTTCCAGAGCCAGACAGTTGGAATGGGGAGGACTATGATCCAGGTACAAAAGTTGGCAGCCGGGACGGTTCTCCAGGTGAGTTGGTGGGGGACCATTTGGTACTTTTGTGGTTGTGCACATACCCCAGAGTAAACTGAAGCATAACATGGTAACATCCAGGAAAAGTGCATACTCCCAGCCTAGACATCAGTTTGCTCTTTAAAAATGCTGATTTTCCACACAAGAGTGACTGGAAACAAAGTTAGAACAGCGGTCAGACTTTGTAATTTCTCATTTTCAGTGAGGATTCAGAAGACAAAGATGTGAAGACTAAGAAAGACGATTCACACTCAGCAGGTAACTCTGTTGTACTGACACATCTTCAGAGCAAGCAGGGTCTCTTCAAAACCAGTTTGTGAGAGTTGCAGGAGGAGGATTTGACACAGTTCTGACTAGAAAAGCAGCACTGCTCTAATACACTTACCTTAAGTTGGATTCTACCTCTCCTACTGTCACCTCCCACCCTGGTTTGGGATAATGTGGTGGGGTTTTTTTGGTGTAATGTGATGGTACTATAAAGTTCATCTTCACAGGTGGATAGACTTGTTAATCTCTTCCCTGTAGTTTCCATCCACGTTTCAGAATGATGCAAGAAACTTCATATTTGTACCTTTTCCTTCCAGATGAAGATTTTGGCAGTGAAGATGATGATATAGGAGCAGATGATGGCAAGGCTGACAGTGACTATGAGAGCTCTCAAAAAAGCAAAAAAGGAAAAAAGGCTAAACCGGACAAGAATAAGAGAGCAGCCTCCAAATCCAGGAAAAGGCCTGCAGGTAAAAAAAAGAAAAGGAAAAAAAAAAGGAGTTTACTGGTAGTTGGGTGACTACAGGAGGGTGTTTATTATGTTGAGCATGGCTGTGTTGTCCTCACAGCTCAGTTATCAAGTGAGTTCTTGATTTACTGATGACTTGCTGCCTCAAGACAGGGGGTCTGTGTTGTGCATCCCTCATAACCTGGTGCCTTTTGCTGCAGAGGACAGCGAGGATGAGAAGGAGGATCACAAAAACGTCCGTCAGCAGCGACAGGCGGCGTCCAAAGCAGCTTCCAAACAGCGGGAGATGCTCATGGATGACGTGGGGAGCGAGGAGGAAGAGCAGGAGGATGATGAGGCCCAGTTCCAGGAGAGTGAGTAAATGGGATTGTAAAGAGTTTACATCAGTGATGAACTGGATTAGGAGCAGGTGTGAGTTTGTGGGTCTGGCCACACAGCAGAAGGAACAGTTTGCTTTTTGGCTGGGACACCGAAAGCATCAGTTGTCCTTCTTACTAATTTACTTTGTACTGTCCAACAGACCAAGCTTTGGTTTTTCACCCCTAGGATTTGTGCTCAGAGTTTGCAGATGTGTGTTTTTGTAATCAGCCCTACAGGGTTGTTATAAAGCTCTCACTGCTTCTTGCTGTCCCTCTGGTTTTAAGGCACTGATGATGCTACTCTCAGATGATGTAAAAACCAAGCCAGATGTTTTACCCCAGCAGATAAATGGGAGCTCACAGCGTCTCAATTTGTGTCCTGTCTCACTGGCAGGTCTCTCATCTTCTGCTCCCTTTCCTCTTTGCCCTCAAAAGAACTTAAATTTCTCTATGCTTCCAGCAGATTCAGGAAGTGATGAAGACTTCCTCATGGAAGATGATGATGACAGTGATTATGGCAGTTCAAAAAAGAAGAATAAGAAGGTCTCCAAGAAATCCAAGCCAGAGAGGAAAGAAAAGAAAATGCCCAAGCCCAGGCTAAAGGCTACAGGTGAGTCTGCAAAGAAAGCTGCTCAGTTTGCCTTTGGTTGTTTTCTTTTTCTGCTATTAAAGGATTTAGTGGAAATCTTGGGGTCAGCAGACACCCACATAAATGCTGAAGGGCTAAAATGCCATGATTTAAAGCAGTAATGTGAAATAATAAGGTGACTTTAATTTTTACTTAAGGGATTGAATTAATCTACATCTTGTTGGTTAAAACTACATAGTATTCAAAAGCTTCCCTGTTGAGGTGCTGCATTCTGATTTTTTTCTGTCTTGTAGCCAAATAATACAATTTGTGGCTTTTTTGGGGACTCTGTTTTCAGGCTGGGGGAAGGTGGGGAAATCCGAACCAAAGGAGGAATTCCATGCATTTCTGCAGCAAGTTTGAAGTTTAATAGATGATGCATGTTCTGGTTTGACAAGAGCTGTGTTCATTCACGATGCCACAATTAGTCAGGACCTGCCATGAAACAGCTTTAAAATCTTGTCAGCTGATTTTCACTTCAGCTTTGCTGACAAGGAGTGCAGAAAACAACCTGTGGGGTCAGAGCAAAACAGGACCTGCTGCTGAAGTGCCTTGTAAATGCCGTTGGTGTAACACCATGTCAGGTTATTTTCTGCCTTTGCTGATGGAAAGTTTTACAAGCTTTCTCTTGTTTCAGTGACCCCCAGTCCAGTGAAAGGCAAAGGGAAGGGAGGTCGCCCCACAGCCTCCAAGGCAACGAAAGAAAAGACCCCATCCCCCAAAGAAGAGGATGAAGAGCCTGAAAGCCCCCCAGAAAAGAAAAAATCAGCCAGCCCTCCACCAGAGAAGTCAGGGGATGAGGGATCTGAAGATGAAGCACCCTCTGGTGAAGATTAAATGGCAGTTGAGGAAATCTTTGGTTAAAAAAAAAAAAGAGAAAAAAAAAAAGAAAAAGGAAAAGAAAAACATACTTTTAGGGGTAGAACACGGTTTTGGCTGTGGCTTGACTCATGGGCTTTGAATGCTGTCTTTACTTTCAGCTGTTTAATACAGTGTATCCTTTTTTAATAAGAGGAAACCCTTATACAGTGATATTTTGAAGTCAATGTTCTCTGTTGGCCATTCCGTTCTCCCTCCCCCAGCAAATCTGAAAGCCATTTGAGACACATTAACAGACCATTAAATATATTTTTTTTTTCCAAGGGATATTGCAGTTGTGAAGCAATAAGGTTTGAGGACTGATATGTGGAAACCATACTTACAAATCCTTAAGTAGAATAGATTTTTCCCAGTGCTGGTAAAGAGTTGTTTTAAAACTATTATTCTGTATTTGAATATATGGAGAGAAAAGAAAAAAAAAAAAGAACCTATGCTTTAACAGACTTTTGTTGAGACAAGCTCACTCTCAGAAAAAAATGTAGTTGATATAATTCCAGTGGAGGAAAAGGAGATACAGGGAGGAAACCTGTATTCCTTGGATTCAGGCACGTTTTTCATGGAAAGCAATCAAGAGACCCAGAGATGGTCCAATGTCTTTGATTTAGAAAAGACCCTCCAATTAGGATGGGAGATTTTTAATTTTTTTTTTGTCTTTGCTGGATAGAAAACTGTTCTGCTGTAGGCAAATTGCAGCCCATTCTGTACAAACCCAGATATACAACTTACAAGCTTCCCACATCAATTAACTCCACTTTACTTCTTCAGGGTTGGCTGTAGATGGGCAGAATAAGGAAGAGAAATTACAAACCACTTCTGAAACCGGTTTCCATTTGGTCTTGTGGAAAATGTCATTAAGAGTTTTTTTCCAAGGAGAAAAAAAAAAAAAAAATGGGTAGTGTAAAACTGAAATCCTTTAGGTTTTGGGGCGAGGGATGTCCGTCTGTAAATGTGAAGCAAAGGATTCCGTAGTGCTCTGGTCAGTCTTGGATCCCATGAGTCAGGCTTTAGTGTTTCTCTTCTCTCCCTCCATCTGTCCTCAGAGAAGCTCCAGGGGGATCCCTCAGCCCCTGCAGCTGCAGCGTGGGACAGCAGGCAGTGACCATCCCCACCACCAACCCATTCCATCCACAGCCCCCCGAGCCTGGGCAGGGCTGCCTGGGGAGCTGGTGAGGGATGGAGCTGGCAGGAAGGGGAGTGTTGGAAGCAGGACTGTTTTAGAAGGAGAGCAGGAGGCCCCTCTAAATGCAAGACACTCAAAATGTGTGTGGTGGCATTTTAATGTGCTTTTATCAAAGCAGCCACGTCCTTTCTTGTTGGGTTTTTTATTTTTTTTTTGTTGTTGTTTATTTTTTAACCTCCATTGAACTACACAAGCCTTGGTTTTCAAACCCTGATAACAGAGGTTGCTGCCATGTTTGTTGGTGGAAATATTTCAAAACTGGACCTGCCATTTTTCTTTCTTTTTGTTTTTTTTTGTTCCCTTTAAACCCTTTGTGCTTCTGTACGTTGCTCACAGTTATCTTCCAGCTGACAAGCTTTGCATCCTATTTTTTTGGTTGTTTTTTTTTTTTTGTCACAGAACTACACCTTTTATAACCAGCCTCTTGAAGGTGTAACATAAGGCAGCTAATTAGTTGGATTTCTGGTAGCACATGCTACCAGATTCGTAATCCTGTTTGGATTTTAGAGAGCTCTTAGATGTCATACACTAATATGATCAGGAAGGACACTTGGCTGAACCCCTAGTGAGCCTGAGGATGCCTCAGATTGGGGAGTGGAATATTAATGCAGCAGCCGAGTGGTTTGTCTTGTGTGGTTCATAGCCCTGGTTTTTATTGAGGCTGGTAAATTACTTTACCTTGGCTTATAAAAAATTTCAAGTTCTCTTAACGTTCTTTCCTCTCATGAAACTACTGTTGCCGTTACAATAAAGATGATCGTTGTTTCGATTGTAAATCTTTCATTTTTGAAGTGGTTCCACTTTCCAAGAGCAGCTTCCAGGCCTGGAGCGAAGCCCCAATCTCGAGAAAGAAGTGAATTTAATCCCCTCTCCTCTCCCAGCTCCTCTTCCCTGATTTCTGGGAGAGCAGAGCCTCTTGCATTCCCTCTGCTCCTAGTCCTGCGCTTCCTGGGGAATATGGGAAAAATAAATGGCCATATTTTAACAATTTTGGGGGGAGCAAACACTCCTGTCAGTGTTTGCTTTGCAGAGTTGTTCCCCTTCAATGCAGATCGTGTTTCAAGCTACTCTTGACCGTTGGGTTCTTAGGGGGCTTTTTGGTATTAAAATGTGCAAGGATTATATTGCAGTTCATGTGGTCAAACAGCCGGTTCTTCACCTGCTATAGATCTTTTCAGAAGAGTGTATTTTGTAAGTTCTGCTTAAAATATGTATTTTTGGGGTCTTTTTTTTTTTTTGGGACTGGATTGTTTTATGCCTGGCAAGTTTGGCCCCTCATCTCACAGGACTGTTCTTTTTTTCCCCCTCACACACTCATTTCTTGTGGCTGTTCCACGGTGCTGATTTTCTGAGTTTATCACATCCCGAACACGATGCAAATCCCGTGCTTTGGGGATTTTGTAACTTTTTTCTAAATCTAACTGTTCTGATTTATGCCAACACTAAGCCCTGATGGTCTCTTGGCTGCTCTGTTAGAAACACAGCCCTTTACATTCATATTTTTATGATTTTCAATTATTTTTAGCACACACCATTTTCCAGTAGCAGCAGCTTCATGTTTTTCCATGTCCTTTCTTAATTAATTAGTGTTCAGCATTCTGATTTCTCAAAGGAAAGCTGTGCAAATGCCTTTCTTTGGGAGCACACATGGTTCTCCCTGGAGCAGAAACTTTTCATTCACAGGAGGCTTTGAAAATCTTCACTTGCACAGCTGTAGTTTTGGAGCCTCTGCAGAGAGGTAAATGGATTTATCCCAAAGTTTAGTCGAGGCTTGAGTCCTGCCCTGACCTCACCATTAAAAAATAGCAGTTTATAACTTGTATTGTGATTTCTTTTGGACGTTCTAAATCCACACCACCACGTTGAGTTTTGCAGTTCATGCCAACAGTCCTGCCTTGGAGAAGGTTTGGTCAGTCAGAAGTGGCAGTTTCAGTTGGAATTTTGGGTTGAAGGTGATTTTGCTGCAGTTTCTGATCAGCATCAGAGTGCCCACCACGCTGAGCTGAGCGGGTTTCTGAGTGGACTGTGGGGGAGAGCCTGAGAAAAATGGGGCAGCTGAGAGGCTTTGAATTCTGTTTTAACTTCATCAGAGCAGAGGAGTGAGAGGGGAGAGAAGCAGCACACCTTGGGTGACACCAGTGCCAGGTAATGGTTCTGAGCCTGCTCAGCTCCTGTGCCAGCACAGGAGGTGATGGACAACCAGGGACAGTGGCAGAAGATGTGCTGGAATTCCTGGTTTTTTTCCTTTTTCCCTTTTTTTTTTTTTCCCTCCGCTGGTGATGGTCACAAAGGTACAATTAGACACTGAGGCACCCAGGTTAAGGAGGGGGAGGGAAGCAAACTGTAACATGCTGGAAGCTTTTGAGCTGTAGAAACTGGTGCTTTGCTTTTATGTAATTTGTTTGTGGAGTGTTTATTTTTATAACAGATCATATTGTTAAACACATGGTTCTTAAAACCTACAAACTGATCCGAGAGTTTTAATATTTGGTTGAGAAGTGGACGTTCATCTGTTGGGGGGAGGCAGGATGTGAAAATGAAGCAGGTGGATATTTAAAGGGACACTGTCACGAGGTAGTTGCTGGCATAGAGGAGATGTTAGTTTTGGGGAGGGGGGTGACATCTATATGTGGAAATTTATATATTCTATATGTATATGATCAAATAGAAAAAAAAAAAAATGTTCCCTGAGCTTTTTGAGTATTTTCCTTACAGTTCTGGGAGGTTCAAATGGCAGTTCTAATCGAGTAGGAAGCAGCAGTAACTGTTCTGTTCTTAACTGTCCCAGGTGGCTCCTTGTTCCTTGAGTGCTCTGAGGAGCATCAGAGCTCCGAGAGCCAACCGTGCCCTCCGAGCCCTCCCCCCAAACCCAGTGTGCCCTCATTCCAGACTCCCCCCACTCCACTAGTTGACTGGCATTTGAATGTCTTTTCATGGAACTCTTTCTACTAAAAAAAACCCACAACTCTTTCTAAGTCTAGTCAAGTCCTGCCACGTGCTAACTGTCTCAACCACTGTCGGCCCCGACTCAGCCTTCCTGCCCCTGCAGCCGGCCCAGCATGCTCAGTGTGACTGCAAACCACCCTTGTGCATATGCTTTGTATATTGGGGCGAGGGGGTTTTTTTATATATATATTTTGGGAGGGGGTGGGGGTAGCGGGTGGGATGGAGGAAATCCCTCAAATCAGCTTAAGCCAGACTTAAATGTGTGTAAAAGCCCCCGAGGTCTGTGGTGTGTGAGTGCGCGGGTGTGAGTGCGTGCCTGGGAGCGTCTGACATCTGATCCCCTTTGTGTTCACGAGGTTTGTGAGTTTGACTTGCTTTTTATTTTTTAATTTTTTCCCTTTTTTTTTTGTTTTTGTTTTGTTTTGTTTGTTTCTGTTTTTCCTCTCCTGCAGAAGCAATTGTTACGAAATTAAAGTTGTAAATAAGAGCTACGTTAATTTCCCGTTCTAACATCGCGTCACAGCAAACCCCTGAATAAATCAGTGGGAAGGTAGAGGAGGAGACTCCAGGTAGGGCCTTGGGCAAGGCATCGTTCTGTGGTATGCAATGAATATTTGTCTCGAGTATTTGCAATCCCCTGCTGAGCTTTGCTAAAAATCAGGCTCTTTGCAGTTCCCCTCCCCATCCTTTTTAATTATTTTTGTCGTTGTTGTTGATCTCAAGAGCAGACAGAAAAGGGGCAGCTGCAAACAGTCACCTCTGGGCCCAGTGGGGTTGGCAACTCTTGCAATACCTTGACAACACTGAGATAAGCATGGTACTAGGAGTTAAGTCTGAATGTAACATTAATGCTTTATTTAAAATAAAAAATGAACCCCACACTTTCTTCTCGGTTTTTGTTTTTTCAAGGGGTTGAAGTGAACATGACTGTCGCCCATGTCCGTGAATTTATAGATGCAACATTCATTGGTAGAATTGTGTGATGGTCTTTTGTGCTACTTAATTTTACATATTCCAGTCTCTGTATGTACCTGCAAAGAAAGAAAGAAAAAAAAAATTAACAAAACCCTGCTTTGCTTTTATTGAAAGGGTTCCCAGGACTGCATACCTGCTCCTGAGCTCTGTTTTAAGTATGTGTATCCTTCGCTTGTATTTTGTATTAAAAAAAGGAAGAAAAAAAACAACAAAAAAAAAAACCACGAGGAAAAAGAACCCTTTTATTGTTCAGCATGTTGGAATTGTGTCCCCTCTTTTATTTTTCTCCTTTTTGGAATATATTAAGCAACTCATTCTTCTGTATCTTTTATTTTCTTTTGTAAACTTTTTGGTTTTGTTTAAAAATGGCTTTATAAAAGGGCTTTTATAACCCATGAACACGAGTTGTGTAATTCTTCTGCTGGTTGAAGGTATCACCCCTTCAGTGGTTGGTTGAGGTGTCAGAGGTGTTTATCTTCCAGGATGTGTGGTGGTTTTGGGATTGATTCCTTGGGAAGCTCCTGTGTTGTCTGGGGAGAGGGAAGTCGGGTTTTGGCCAGAAGAGTGGGGCAGGTGGGACCTTCCCATCTCTGCCTGTGAGATGAGGGGCAGGAATTACAAACTAAGTCATGTTGGCTGTGAGAAGCCCAACCTGGGCTTTCCCAGCGCTCCGGGAGGGTCGTGAGTTGGGGGTTTAAGGCTCAAAGCCCTGCACAGGTCACGTCACCTCCACGAGGGAATTCCCCACGTGTGTCCCAGCAGTGACAGCAGCCCCACAGCCCCTGCGTATGGAAGATGCCTGCTGTGTTCATCGGGAATATGGGACAAATCACCCGAATTTCGCCTGCCTGGCACAGCGTGGAGGGGCTGCCCAGGCACGGGGGGTCACGGCACCTCGCCTGTGCTCTTCATAAATCCATTCCAGCGCATTCCAGCCCGTTTCCTGCGGAATCTTCGGCCCCGGGTTGGACCCCGGTCAGTTCATTTTTTTACCGATTTTACCGATTTTGACCCATTTTTGGTGTCCTGCCCGCACTGCGCCAGAAGGGGGCGCACTGGGACGGCGCCTCATCCCGCTCCCTCCTTCCCTTGGGATGAGCCGGGAAAGGCTCTGGAATAACGAGTGGAGCTGGGCGAGTGTGTTTATTAAAAACCGAAGCGGTCCGTCAGGACGAGCACCTGGAATTGTTTGTTCCTCGCGGGGATTAAGCTGAAGCTGCTTTTGGGATCCGAAGGGAGCGTGTTTCCCTGAAAGGTTTGGGATGGCTAAACGTGCTTGTAGCCCCTGTGCTGTCCTTGCCCCAGGTCAGCAGGATGCTCAGCCACAATGAAGTGGTGGTTCATTAACACATTTGCTTCCAGGGCTTATTTGGGGCACTTTATGAAATGCCATCTCTGTGTCTGCCTGCAGGGGTTTCCTACCTATTCCCTTTATCCCACAGGGTGGTAAAATGAGGCTCTGTAACCCGGGAGTGTTTGCTGTTGGATGCTGCTGCTGACAGGGATGCTCCAGGCTTTTGGAACGGAGAGCTTGAATAATGGGAATGGAGTGGTTTAATCACGCAGCTCATGGCATTCCTGTCTTTTCCCTTTGAACAGGGCAGCCAATCAACCTTGCCAGGTATTCCTACCTCACTGCTGTGGCATCTGCAGTCCTGTGCTGCAGTCTTGACATGGATTTCTGATCCTGGAGCGGAGTTTCCTTCAGGTCCTGCTGCACCACTTCACTTTTAGGCTGCTTTGCTCTTTGGAGCCCAGTGTATTTCCTGACTGCTCCATCCTGTTGGCAGATGCTTTGCCAGCATAAACTTAAGGAAACTTCCCTAACAAAAGTTCCCATTGGCTTCGTGATATTTACAGGGAATTAATACCAGAAACAAATTATTTGTTTCTGGGTTTGCTGGACGGGCATCTGAGCGGTGGACACGGATAAGGTTTAGTAACTCCAGCAAGTGCTGCCAAACCGGGGGAATAAGATTCCCTTGGCAAACAATCCTCGCTGTCAAGTTTGAATCCGAGAGAATTTTGCCTGGGGAATATCCTGTTTGTGTTCCTCTTGGTAGCGTTTGGTTCTAGGACGAAAATCGAGTCCAAAGGTGGAATTCAAGACGGGATCTGTTTGTGGCAGCACAGCTCGTTGGGGCCCTGCAGGTGCCCTTGGAGGAGTAAATGGGCTGGGGTTGGTTTGAAGAGCTGCTGTTCTGAGCTCTGCTCTGTGGGAGCAGGGACAGGACCCAGGGAAGGGCTGGGGCTGTGCCAGGGGAGGGTGAGGTTGGATCTCAGGGGAAGGTTCTTCCCCCAGAGGGTGGTTGGGCACTGAACGGGCTCCCCAGGGCAGTGGGCACAGCTTGGAGTTTTTACTTCTTTCTCTGGTATTTGGGGTGTGTGTCCCACACAGTGTGATAGATGAAGCACAGATATCACTAATAACTTAAATTCCTGCTGTTCAGGGGTGCAGGAGAGCCCTGGAGGTGCCTCAATCTGCCCCTCAGGCACTGATTGAAGAGCCCTGGGGCTCTGTGCAGTGTGATTTGACGGGGCTGGCTCCGACCTGCGGGCTCAGAACCACATCCTGGGCTCACACACATCTCCGGCTTCGCAGTTTTATGTAGCCCAGGAAATGGTTTTGTGTGTTTTGGTGTTGTTGTTTTTTTTTTTTCCCCTCTTCCCATAGACAGAGGTCAAGTTCAAGTGCAGTTATCCCTCTGTGGGCAGCACTGGAATGCACCCCCCAGACACAGAGCAGCGAGGGACGGTTCCTACTGAAGTTTCTGGGTCAGGCTGAGCCCTTGGCCCCAAACCACGGTCTCAGTTCTTTCTCCCTCCTGCATGGGCATGGGCTGATGGACACCCAGTGAAAACAGCCCTGCACAAAGTCAGAGCCGTTTCCTACTCTGCCTCTTGGACAACATTTCATTCACCCTCCCATCGTGATGAGTTCGGGTTTATATTCGAGGTTCTGCTTTATATTCGCTCGTGAATTGTGCAGCTCGAAGGGGAGCTGGGACTTTATTTGAATAATCTCTTGTCTTTCAGGTTGAATAACATTTGTGTTTTGGGTAGATAACAGTTCCAGCAGAACTACATTTCCTGCTGTCACAATATCTTTATCCTTAAGCGTTTCTAGCTGAGCCCTTGGCCTTGGTGGGAGGTTTTGGTTTGCATTATCAATTAATGCCTTTCCTTAACAGGGGGGTCTGTTGGCTTTGCTTGTTGTAAACCTTTTCAAACATTTTTGATTAATTGCAGTGTTTAATGTCTCAGAACTTCTGTCTTCCTCCTCTTGTGAAATGAAGTCAGTACTGACCTTTTTTTCAGATTTTTTTTTTTTTAAAGTCTCTGCTTGGATTTCTTTCCATTTTGTTATTTTTATTTTTATTTTTTTTTTAGCTAAATGTTTCTCAATGTTTCTGCTTCACTTCCTGAATGAGGGGAAGGAATAGTTTGAATATAATCCTATTTACTACATAGAGCTGTCAGTTCTTTTTCCTTAAACTGGCCTTATTTTAATTCTTTTTTAATTAAAATTTAATTTTAAATTTTAATATTTTTTTTAATTTTACTTCAGTGTTGATTATGATACTGCATTTGAAACAATTGCTGCTCCCAGAACCAGTTCAGTACATTAGTTTTAAACTAATAAGTAACACATTTCTCAAAGGCAGACAAGGCCTTACATTTGGAAGTGACTCATGTTCTTTCACTCTCATTCACACTAAACTGGTTTTACACCTTTAAATGCATAAAAACCACTTAAGTGGCTTTTAAACATTTCTCCCAGTTTCCTTCTTTTGTAGAGCAAGGTGCCAGAAGGAAAAAAGAAAATATCCTTGGGTGCAAATCCTTGTTCTCACTCTTGAATCTCCTTCTCCCCCCTCCCCAAGGGCTTTTGAATGTAAAACAGAGCAAGTTGTGGAGTTTAACAACTTGTGTTACCTCTTAGATTGCGTTTTCCCACGTGAGTTAAATGCAAACATGAATGTTTTTAATGAAAAATCCTGGAATCCTGGAATGGTTTGGGTTGGAAGGGACATTAAAGCTCTTTAAACCTTCCACCAGCCCAGGATGCTCCAATCCCTGTCCAGCCTGGCCTTGGACACTCCCAGGGATCCAGGGGCAGCCACAGCTTCTCTGGGCACCCTGTGCCAGTGTTGGATCTCAGTGCTGCTTCCCAGGTAGGACACAGTTCAGGTGCCCCTGGAGGAGAATTCCAGAGGGCTGGAAAGAGCAGCAGAGCCCAGCGTGGGAAGCAGGCCCTGGGGAACTGCTCTCTTTGCACCTCCAGTCAGCAGGAGCTCAAACCCAACGAGGAGGAGCCCAGTTCTCTGATCTGATGGTAGAAGGCTGTGCTAATTAAAAGCAGCAAAAAATTCCCAAGACTTGCAAGTGCTGGAAGGCTGCTGCTGCCACCAAAACCAACAGCCAAGCTTTAAAGCTTAAGCCTGGTCTAGCTGGCAGGGGAGCTGTTGGCAAACAGAGTCGGAAAAATAAATAAATAAAAAGCTGCCACCTCCTTTTCCTCAGTGATGCTGCAACATGTCGTGGCCCTACAACAAGTGACAGCCCAGGAGAGGTTTCCTGGCTCCTTAAAGAAAAAAAAAAAAGGGAATAAGGGGGGTTAGGAGATCATCCTCTGGAGTTGATCCCATTATGACAGGGCTCATTACATCAAATTTGGGCGCTCACTCTACCATATGGAGCAGGGGGGACCCTGTCTGGCCCCACTGCTGGGGACGTCTCCAGTGCTGTTTGTGTGTCTTGACCCCGGGCAATCCTGCCATTCTTCCCTCGTTAATCCAGGGATTTGTGGAATGCCAGTGACCCCACAGTCAGTCTCTCCTGAGCTGCCAGGGCTGGGAGTGACACGGAATTGTCAGCAGTGATATCTGGGCAGTTTTTAACATTCATGTCAGAGTCAGCCCCCAGGATTTCAGAGGGTGGGGCTGATTGGAATTAATCAAATTAATCATGAAATTATCAATGTCATGCGGACTGTTGGTATTTTTTAATTTCGTTTGGGAATAGCAGGAGCAAGGGAGTTGCTGCCTTGGGTGGTTCTAGGAGACCTCCTGGTGCTGGAATGACCATAAAAATTCTAGAGGAGCGTGGCACAGAAAGGAAAACAGCTTTTAGAGGCAGGAAAGGGAGAGACACAAAAACCTGGGATGGTGGTGAAAGAGTTGAGATAGAATCATTAAGCCATGACAGCCACGTTTGCCCTGTCCTGTCATTATGAGATTGGAGTGGAAAACTCTCATTATTCTTTTGATGATTCCTTTTTTTTTTTCTTTTTTTGCTAATTAATGAAATCATTAATGTTCTCCCAATCCTAATTTTCCTGTTTGTTTGCAGGCAGGTGTATGGCCTCGTCCTTCTCCATCCTTGGCTACTCCAA